GGGCAGAAAAAGTAGCACAGATTTTGAATAAAGGTGTTTTCACAGGGGGAAAAAAAGCAAATTGGTTAGTGAAGAAGTTTTCATCAGTCCTTAAATAGAATGAAACATTTCCTTTTGGTACAGGGGTCGAAAAGGTTGCTGGAAAAGGACAACCCTTCCCTTTCTAGAAATTCTCTGCATGATACACAGTATTGGATTTAAAAGGATTTTAAAAGGTTATCAGGGATGCTAAGAAACTACAGACTTAGATACTACTGTGTATCCTTCTTCTCTGGATCAGTCAGTGTTTGTTTACCGCATTATTAACTGCCATTAATTGGTTTTATTGTAACAAAGAGTTTGGTGCAGCAATCCTTTGGAGGGCATTCAAGGTAAACGATTGCTTAACAAGCTGTTGGTGTTGTCTGCCAGTACTTTGGTCTTGTTGGGACGTACTTCAAGCCGGACAGAAATATCTCAGTATTTATTGGATTGATGGCGTTGGAAGTCTTTTGATTTAATTATAGATTGGCCTTTTCAACTTCTATTCTATCAAAATACTTATAAAAGGATAACAACAGCATACAAAGGTCCATAAACTCAAGGATTACTCCTTATTCAAGGATTTTTCAGGACCTCTGAATTTCTAAAGATGGCTTTAAGAAGGGATGTGCGTGTTTAGTTGACATAATTAAACTCTGCTGTCTTTGCTAACCAGCAATAAAACAAATTGGTGGTTCAACAAACTATTAATATTTGAAAAAGACCCAAAGCGGCAGTGGCACGTTGTAGCTGAGCTCTACTGCAGCCACTTTTCACTGGCTTTGTTTCAGTTCCAGCTGTTGGCGAATGCCTGAACGCCGTACCACCTGGATGAAAACAATGACATCAAGGTAACATCTCGTAGCTCATCTTTTTTTGTTTTGTTTTAGTTTGTTTGTGGTTCATATTTCCATCTAGAGAAAAGAGATAAAGACGTATGTAGGCTTAAACTGTCATAAAACCACTCAAGCGATGCACAACCAGCATAGGCACATCGATGTTTACATGCAAGGACTGAAGGCTGGACGTGCTAGCTCCGCGCTTTGAGCATGTGACCCCCTCCTCTGAATGTTCATGTCTCCATCCTTAGTTCTTTGAGTTCAGAGCTAATTGACAAAGGTTAACATGCTTATAAGCTTAAAAGACAACTGTACATGGTGTTCATAACTGTCTAGAGAGACAACAGCTTTGCCTTCGTAGGTAAGAAATTTGGTAATGGTGGCATTGTTTTCAAGAACAAATGTTCCTATTCTTCTTTGTTTCATTTTTTTATATAAAGGTAAAATAATTGAAAAAGAATAGAAATTTTTGCATGAGTAGAACACTAATGGACAGAAAATTAAACAAACAAACAAAAAAACATTCTACTGATAAAACACAAACCTAAACAGGACAGTCTTGCCCTACTGTTTTCTGTGTGGTTGGAAAACTGAAACAAAAAATGCTTACACAAGTGGTTTAAGCAGCAGTGTCACGGTTCTTACTCAGCATCTGCCTTGCTCCCAAAGAGGCTAATCCAGGATCCTCCCTTCAGTCAAACAGTTTCCGCACACACATGCCAACCGCTAACGCTTGACTTTGTTCCATTATCCCACAACTGTATGGGCGCAGAATTTTTATATTTTCAATGCAGGATTTTTCTTACATAAGACGTGATTCAAATTACAATCTAAAGAGCAGCCCCACTTAAACGGAGCACTACAGTTCCCATTTGAAAATTCACATTAAGGCAGGTTTTGGACTTAGTCTGTTTTACCTGAAGGCCAAACATTGTTAGATCCGAACAGTAAGTCTGCTATTGTTTTACTTGGCACCTCGGTGTATTTGCATTTGACTGCAATAATCCATTCATTACTGGCTTCAGCATAAGACGCCCAACCCATGCTGTGTAGTTAGAGCACAAACTAAAGAAAACAAAATCAACCCCTATTTACTTACCCTTGAATGTTTGAGAAGTTAGGTGTGGTTACAGCCGAAGATTAAAGCAGAAGGTGATATTTGACATAGCTTTTTGGTTTTTTTTAAGTGCAGCTGTCCTTTTTTAAATATGACATCAAAAGTTATATGTGTTATTGTGTTACCGCCTCTCAGGTTCCATATGAATTTGTGTTTAGTGGTTTTTATTTACTTTCACTGCTGAAGAGATGGTTAAAAGTCAAACCATTTCATGTCAGATCATATTGTTTCATGTCTTAATCTGTTATACCATATTTTCTCCTTCAGTATTGTATCTGATTATACCAAACTGAACAGAACTCTATCCTATCATACTGCATCTAATCCTGTCGTATTATACTGTATTGTATTGTCATATAGTATTTGTCTTGTATTGTGTTGTGTTCTACTACACTGTATTGTATTAAATTGTACTGTGCAGTACTGTACCTTAATACTATCTTGTTGTACTGCCTTGTATTGTATATATTACGTTGTATTATCTTAAAACATATCATAATGAATTGGGCAATTTAGTATTATATCACATTGTACCATATTGTAGAGTATTGTATCCTATAACATGTTGTATTGTATGGTACCATATCGTACTGTGGTAAATTGTCCTGTACCTTTATGTATTTTATTGTTTGGTATCATACTGTGGTTTGGTATCGTATCATGTTGTAATGTTTTGTAACATAACATTATACAGTTAGGTATCGTAATGTGTGGTATCAAACTGTACTGTACCCTATTGTATTGAACCTTAACATATTGTATTGTACTGTATTGTTTTGTATTGTATTGTGTTGGATTGTACTGTATTGTATTGAATAGTAATGTCTTGTACAGTGTTGTATTGTGTTGTATTGTATTGTGTTACATTTTCTGACATTATGCCATACTGCACTGTATTGTGTTATAATGCATTGTAGTGTACCTTGTTACATTTAATCATATGGCATTGCATGGTACTATTTGTATAATACAGCATTGCATTGTTCTGCATTGTTGTAACTATACCTGTTATCCACATATCCATAACATATCATGTCCTATCTTGTAAAGTGCTGCACAGTTATCTTGTTGTGCTGTATACCACCATATTGAAAAAATATCTACACATTGTATTGCGTTGAACTGATTCATTCTATGTGGTGTTGTAGTCTCATTATGAAACCAACTGTATTGTTTTTGGTTTTAAAATTATTTCCTATGATGTTGTGTTTTGATTTTTTTGTAAAATTTTGGTTATGTCCTTTAAATGTGATTTTAAAACTTCAATTAACAAAGTAAAAGCTGCTTGTTTGGATTTTCTCATATTAAATATGTCTCTTGTTCACAATTTGACATTGACCAGGAAGAGTTTGACTACCCTGCCAACAGGATCAGCTGTGAGCAACATCTCTCATGTTAAACACAGTATCTCACATGGACCTGAAACGTTCAGCCGGTTGTCTCTTCACGACAAAGTTAAAGGCTAAAAGCAGGCGTGCTGGGGTTTAGAGGGATAAGCTTCATCGAATCCTTCCAGATTGATCTTTGACACTGTCTATCCAGCGGGTGACCTGACTCCTAAACATGGCAGGTATAGAGGGCAACAGCAGGGGGGAGGGGTGATGGGAACAAGGGCACCAAGGCCCGGGAGGGGAGAAGGAGGAAGGGATGGAGGATGCTAACTTCTTGGAGGAGTTTGGCCGACCTTGTTTGCTGACCATGTGACTGGAAAGAGGAGGATGTACGGATTAGAGATGCAGATATAAAAGCGGCAACGCACTCGAGACATTTCACAGACTGAAGGAGAAAGAGAAGTTTGGAGAAGAAATCAGCTGTGACCCACTGGGATATCTGTGAGGACAGGTGAGGAAACTTCACTGCTGCAAAGGAAACTTCTGGACTGGAGTATCCTGATCATCTTTTAGGCGTATCATGATTGGAGAGTCGCTGCTTTTTCAACTTTTTAAATATTTAAATCAAACTTAATTGTTAACTTTAGCAAATTATGGACTTGTTAAGATAAGAAAAGATTTCTGAATGAAGTTAAATCTTTAATTCAGAAATATGCAGATGCAATGAGAAGCAAAAATTTTCTTTGGGGGTTTTGAACCGAACGGAAAAGAGACAGCATCTAAAGACTGATCATCCTGCTGTCAAGAGACTTAGGAGAAACTTGCAAGAAACTTGAATTAATATTTTCAGCAGACATAAATTCTGAGCAGTATTGAAAATGTAGTTGATGCAGAAATTTGTGCAGGGTCAAAACTTATGAAATCCAGAAGTAGAAAGGGAGACAGATGGAGAAAGGTCGACAAGAGCTTGTGTGGAATCATAAAGTGGAGAACAGGTGTCTGCAGAGAGGATTGTCTTTGGGGGGTAATAGCTGCAGCAACAGATGGCAATAGTGCCATGCTGCAAATGCCAAAACAACGCAACTTTGCAGATTTCATTGCAAGTAACTGTAACTCTGATATAGATAAGTCATTGCTGATGAGGGTGGAACAAAAATTTGAGTTGTGCAATGTGGCAAACTAGGTTGTTTTCCGCTTTTGACAAAGTAATGTTAATGGGATTATGAGTGTCAGAAGTCAGCGGCAGGGGGTCAGGACGGGGGATTAGACAGGATACAGTCTTGGATCAGGTCTGAGATAAGGGCAAAGAGGACAGATGGGGATGTTTTGTTCTGGGGATTGACTGATAGGGTACAGAAAACTCTTGATAACATAGCCCTTCATGTGGTAAACAGTTTAAGACAAAATACAACCAAGTGATGGTTTCATACTTGAGTAGAGTTGAGAGAAGAGGCTGCACTCTCTTTACACGTGGTGTCCTCTTGTTAAAGAAGGGCAATTAGTCCAAATGGAATCAGGGTGGGATTAGAGCTAATCTTGCTGTTTAACCTAATCTGCATAATCTTCCCTGGTTGGCACTGAGAGCTGGAAACAGGATTAACGAGAACAAAGGAGGAACACACGATCTCCAATAGGAGGGCAGGGTAGAAGACTGACGTCCTCTGTGTTTTCTTTCAGAGACCCATCGCAGAAATGAACGCTAGCCCACCTGCAGGAAGCGCCCTAGCCCCTGGCGGAGCCACTGGGCCCACCACACCCAAGAAGGGCCCACCCAAGTTCAAGCAGAGGCAGACCCGTACATTCAAGAGCAAGGCTCCCAAGCCAGGCCAGAAGGGGTAAGAAGAAAGAAAAAAAAACACCTCATGTTTATGAATAGAAACATTCAAATTGTGCTGTCTGAGTTGCTCACCTCCTTTTTTTTTCTTTTCCAGCTTTGGTGACGACATCCCTGGCATGGAGGGTCTTGGCACAGACATCACAGTAGTGTGCCCATGGGAAGCCTTTGGCGACATGGAGCTTAGCGACTTGGCCAAATACGGCATCATTTAAACCTGCTGCCTCCTGCCATCCTTGCCTGCCTGAACCTCCTCTCCGTCTGACCCGCTCCACCCTGCCTTCTCCCTACCTCAGCTCGACATGCCGCGATAAGGCTGCCGGGAAACCCACTAATACCCTCTCGTCTATCTACCTCACGCTCGACTCCACTAAGTGGATGAAGGGCATAATGATGCTTTTACTATTATCTTATTATATGATACTGTTTAAAGTATATATACTTGAAATAAGAAGACGAGAAAAGTCCCTCCATGTACCTTCTCCCCCTTCCTTGCCACCATCTAAATTAGTCAACTCCGCACTTTTCCTCCCATCTCATTGGACTCCTTTGTTTTCCCTTTGCCACTCCTCACCCTCGGCAATGGACGCAAGCAAAACACTGGTTAACACTAGCTTGGATTTGCTTCTAGCTGTCTGTTAAGATGTAAATATGTTGTTCTCAGTATTGAACCTTTAAACTTTGTCAACTGTCCCAACCTTTTGTATTTCCACCCTCTTTTATTATGCATTGTATTTTCTACACCTTTTGCACAAGGTTGCTGTAAACATCTGGGGATGCAAGGAGAGCGTGCTACATGCTGTACTGATGAAAACTACAATGCACTTTCACATAATCGTGGAGGTTGAACTCCCTTCTCTCCCATCTGTCTATCTCTCCTTGCTGCTATCTGAACCCTCCTTAGAGAACGTGACAATGTAAACACTTTGTGTCGCGAGCGCTATACTATCACAGAAAATGTACTGTGAGCTGGTTCTGTCCTGATAGCTGCAGTAAATTGTGTTTATTTTTAGTACTCAGTCTGTGTGTGTCTTTATTTCACCAGAACACTGGATTCCACATGGGTTACAAAGAAATATTATGTAACGAAAAACACAAGAAATGTGATTCACTGCCAAACTATAAAATACATTGTGCTAACTTAGCTCTAACTTAGCTCTAACTGCATGAATGAATGACATGTTAAGTCAATGCAAAGGTGCGATTTGACGCTCTTACTACTCTGGTGGCGCGAACGACACGAATTGGTCGTGAGCTGAAAATGTCTCAACTTGAGCAGATATTCTCATCACGATAACTAATCAGCACGAAGGTTGCCAGGTGACGCGTGAAAATGGACAGTTGCTCACTGGTATCTAAAATGGAGGACAAACTGATTGTGTCGGCGTGTGAGTGCCCTGAATTATGAGATACCTTTTCTTTCAATTACCGAAACCGGAATAAAAAGGAGCTCACCTGGAGGCAAGTGAGTGAGGAGGTGGGATTACCTGGTGAATTGTAAAAAACCTTTGTCTATCACTTGATCCTGCCCGTTGAATTGTCAGGGATTATCGTTGAAATTACCGTTGACGCACGAATGAAGCAACTAAATCCTATTCATTCACGCGTCTAGATTTGTGCAAATTAAGCGAGAGAGTATTTTTACTTGTGCGTGGTGTGAGCACCCCATAACAGTGCAACAAATGACTTGATGTCGCTTTCTCATCTAAAGGCTAACTAACTGTAGCTTGTACTTTCTATCGTGATGATATCTTCAAGATAATGGAGGCAAATGTGGTGGCGTTCACCTCTTTATGGTCACCATTGATCCACATTTCCCACAGACTGGAGTGTCAACAAATGCTTTTATCTTTCACTACCCTTGACATTATTTGCAAGGCAGTTGAAGTCACACATTACAGTATAAGCTAGCTAGAAAGCTAACTGGCTGCTTTTTCGTCTTCCCTCTGTGTTACGGCAGGTAGCAACCAGCTAAAAGAACCACTACCACCCCCATCTATTACCTAACGCTTATTTCCAGCACACTAGCAGTTTTCTTTCCTAAGACAGGTATTACTGATACTAGTATACAGTATACACAATTGCACTGTTCACACTTGCATGAATGTGAACATAGCCTAAGGGTTATCTTAGCCAGTAACATGTTTCGGATGGATTTTTAATTAATAACTGAAATAAGAACATTGGGTTGTGCTGTAGATTTCATAAAGAGTAATATTTTCATTCACAAGGATGCCCCACCTCTGACAATGACATGACGCTGACTATATCTATGGTTTCATCCTTACATAAAATAAGAGTCTGTCCACAGACGTTGTCTTATTTTTTTTTCCAGTGTTAATCCTTCATACTGTCAGTTACAGGATTCTTCACATTCAGATGTCCAACGTCATTCCTGCACTTCCCGGGTTAGGGATTAGGGGATTTTGAAATAGTTGGCCAACAGTCTGAAATATTTGTTAAGGCTTTAAGACATGAGTTTTTATTTTCGGACTGTGACAAAGAAGCGCGATGATTACTACATTTTATCTCCACCCATCTGTGTTTAACCCCCCCAGAGTGAATTTAAAGTTGGAGAGTGACTTAAAATCCAACCTCACACGCCCTATTAATGCTGTACTTGTTCAGGCTTGACTTGAGGTGTTGTGTGTGGACTTGTTTCACACAACAGTCCAAAGCACCAACTACTCTTGATGCAGCTCTCCCTCAGGTAAACTAACCTTTTCCAAATGTTGTTGCTGTGATTGACTCGTAACTAAGGTGACGTCTAGATCTTTTTCTGAATCCCGATGAGTCTGAGGTGAGTCATTCAGACTCTCCCTAAAAAATATCAAACTCCCCACCCCTTCATTGCTTTTACATGATGAACGATCTCACACTTGGTCCAGACTCTCCGGTTTATCCAAATAAAGCTCATGTTATCCGGAGAATGGATGCAAATTCTTATGGGAAATGCATTCATAAGTAGGGTGGAGTGAACTCTCACTGCCTGTGTGTGTGTGCATCTTCACCTCCAGGTGTGTGAGCCCCACCTATAGTCAGAGGGAGGGGCAGACAGGAGGGCGCTGAAAGGAAAGTACAGATCAGGGGTGCAGGTTTTCCTGTCTTTGCTCAACCTGTTGCTGCAATTTTAAAACAATCTGACAGACCTCAGTTTGCACTACGCCTCGTCTCGTGATCTTTGCTTAACCTCAGCTGGCTGAAACATGCGCGCTTTATCAAGATAACTTAGCGGCTGAAGCTTGGGGCAGAAGGTTTTCAGCAACAGAAACTCAAGACTTTTTGGATTAGGATCCAGAGTTTGAATTGAGACTGAATTCCCATTGAATAAAAGGTAAGTTCTCCTTTTTTTAAATAAAGGTTTGTTGATTTTGAGATGCAGCTTAAACATCTGAACTCACTTTTCTCTTTAAAAAACACAGAATCTTCAGAAATTTGTCTTTGCACTCACTCTGATTTGGTCTGTCCATTGGTTTGATTTTAATCCTCAGGAAAATTTGCAGAAAGCACAAATCCTCTGTGTCTTTTCATTAAGATCCTGTCTCTCATTGTTTCATCTCTGTAATATGAGGACCAGGGTTGGGATAAATTTAAAGGCCTCTGTGATATTTATCAGAGATAACAGCCCCAAAGTTCAAATGTGAATCTCTGGCAAAGAAACAAAGGCTTTGTTATGTGCAGCAGGAAGTGTCACTGCACTATCAGGAGTGGTTATCTCACATGGCCAGCCCGTACGGATTGTAGTCCGTGCAAGAATGGATTTAGTTTAGGGATGTGACAGAAGGTCTGCCTCACCTGTTCTCTAAGTGGGCATCATAAGTACAAATGTGGCATTTGAATATCTGTATGAGCAGATATTTGCTTTGACAGACATACACTAACATAGTTTAATGCAGAGGTTGACCGAGATAATAATCCAGGATAAGACTTTAACGCCACAGTAACAGCTCGATTAGGTGATTTAACTGGTGCTTGTCTCTGTCTAAGCACGAGGCCACAGTCTCCTCATTGACAAAAGTATGTCTGCCATCACTATAGTGGGTGGTGCCCCCTTTCAGCCTGTTACTATTGGACTGTCTCCAAGTACTGAACAATCAACAAACGCTCATTGGTTGTACATTGAGCAATGAAAACATAAACAACTTTGGAGCTCTGTACCTTTTGTACAAGCTTTGTCTTTCATTTTGTCTGTTCTCCAATTGACATTTGCCTACCGGTCAGCTTTGTACCACCTGTTTTTAATTTGTTGGACAAAGAGTGGCAATAGACGGTCCACAGAAACAACCAAAGTCAAATAAAAGATTTAACCTGAACACATTACATCCATATAGGTCTACAGGCTTCAGATCAAGGCTGTGTGACCTTGCTTGATCTGCCTACCATCGATCTTACTTTTCAATCAAAATTCTCAGCGAAGATAGTATAACTGAGCAGATTTCAGGCCCTTGCCAGCAATCCAGATTATTCTGCCCAATAAGAACTGACTCTGGCTGCTCCCAAGAGCTGGTTCCAGAGATGTGCCGCTCACCCTTCGAGATGATGTCGGCTCAAACAGTGTTGTAAGTCAAGTGATACTTGAAAATCACCAAGCACTAAGAATTCCAAGACTTCACCTTTTATTGCTTTAGCTTTGAGGTGTCTCTCTGAAACATTCTGCAGTCCTCAAATACCTGTCGAATCGCCACTATATTGATGCTAATGCTAGCTGCAAAGACAGCTCTGATGCTACGAGGGCTTGTCAGGTGACTTCTAAGATTTTTCGTGTTGAAACTTGAGGATCTTTTGTCCTCCTCACTGACTACTTAGAGCACATGTTTTCCAAGTAACAATGACGTCATCCTTCTCTGGAACGGTGAACAACATCCATCAATGGCGCCATTTTTACTTCCTCATCAGCTTGTTGCAGCTGCATTTGTTCTTCTTCTCCATATATCATGCTGGACCTACTGTGGGGCCCGTCAATAAGTGCATGAAAGCGATTTTAATTTGTTGTTTTAACAAATATTACAATCAGAATGATAAATTTCAATCAGGTATTCCCATTATCCACAGATAATTGATGTGACAAATATATTTCTCGTAGCTCTCTAACAATAACTAGAACATTTCCTGAATTGAAAATATACTCGGTAGGAAACTGCAGAAACTGGTGCCAGTATTAGGAATGACAGTGTGTACCAACCCGCGTCCAAACCTCACCTCTGTGTTTTCATTGTTATTCTTCCACTCTCAGCCTTGTCTGACACTCTCCTCGGCCCTGTTCTGGCATGTTTATGCACTCCCTCTTTTTGCACTTTCCTTTTTGCACTCGAGCTGCCAAACTGCTCTTCTTCATTTTCTTTTCCACGTTGTGACCTCTGTCTTATCCTTTCCTTTGTTCTATCCTGCCCATTTTTGCACTGCCAGTTAAAACAGTTCGGGAAACTTTTATATCAAACTTTTTCGGGTTTCTGCTGACGTGCTTTTTTCTTCTTTCAGGAGAGTCAACCTTGAATATCACAGGAGATCTGAGAGGGAGACTTGCATCCCTGCGTGGAGTACCTAAAACGAGTATGGCTTTTTCATCACAGCTGCACAAATCTCTTCTCCCAGTTCTCTTCCTCCTCTGTGTCCCACTCTCATGTCTCTGCCAGTCGTCAAACAGCAGCTCAGCCAACGCCACAACCAACGCCCCAACCATAGCTGCTCCTTCCTCAAATGAAACTTCCCTAAAAGGTGTGCCGGGCTGTGGCAAAAGACTGAATCCAATCTACAGGTACCTGTGTGACCGCAGAGCAGCATGGGGTATCGTCCTTGAGACCCTGGCCTCTGCAGGGTTCCTGTTTAGCATGGCTCTTCTCTTTTGCCTCCTGCTCTGGTCCACGTGGATTTGCATCTCATCACGACAGCGCGTTGGCATCGGAGGCGCAGTAGCCTGCATGTCCCTGTTCCTATTAGCCACCGCCGGGATCTTCGCCATCACCTTCTCCTTCATCATTCGCCTCACTCCTCAGACCTGCCCCACCAGACTCTTCCTCTTCGGCGTGCTCTTCTCATTGGCTTTCTCCTGCCTGCTGGCCCGCTGCCTCGCTCTGCTGGGTTTTGCTGCCACCAGAGGTTGGGGAGAGCTCGGTGTTGCTCTGGGGTTGTTCATGGTGCAGGTTATCATCTGTACAGAGTGGCTGATCCTTGTGTTGGTACGGGACAAGAGACCATGTGCATACCGCCAAGATGAGTTTGTCATGTTGCAGATCTACGTGCTGTGCCTCCTTGCAATCAGCTTGATCCTCTCCTTGCGCTTCCTGTGCCGATCCTGCTTCACATACAGCTACGGCTACCAAGGGGCCGCCCACTACCACTGGAGGATGCAGGCTGGGCTCCTCTTCCTCACACTGATGCTCTCTGCGTGCATCTGGGTGGTGTGGATCACCATGCTTACCTGGGGGAACCCTGAGGTGAACCGTCGGCCACAATGGGACGACCCGGTGCTCTCCATTGCCCTGGTGGCAAATGGTTGGGTGTTACTGATGGGTCACGGGTTGTCTCAGGTTGCTTTCCTCTGCAGAGGGGAGGCAAAGTCCAAAGATGCTCCTCTGAGCTTTGCAGGCTGGACTAGCCCAAGTGCTGATATCCCAGGACTGGCCAGCCCAAAGGAAGGGAAAGAAAACGGAAGCTTTGAGAACGAGGCCGAAAACAGACGAGGTGAGGAGCTCATATGACGAGTCAAACGAAGAGGTGCTTCATTTACGGTTAAATATGTCAATTAACTAAAATCTGATGATCGCTTTTACAAGTTATTGACTGCTTTGTCAGTTTCAAGGAGAGAATAAACTAGGGTGAACATATTCTGACTTCTCAAAAAAAGGTCACAACTATGCAGGGGCGGAGTCACAGAGTTACACAAAGTTAATTTTGAGAGTTTTTCAGGTCAGATCGAGTGTCTTTTACGGGCTTCTAACTCAGTCAGTCCACATAACACAAACTCAAAACTTAGGTACCAAACCGCAGACATTTGAAGGATTCAACTTTCCGGACAAAGCTGGAGAGCCCAGACGGCCCCCCAATAGGAGGACATGTCCGGGTAAAAGAGGACGTATGGTTACCCTAAGTAAACCCTGTCCCAGAAGCCAAATATTTCTGATATTAGCTTACAACAAAAGCCATAAAACAATGTTAGTTTTTATGTAGTACAGAGCAAGGTTGTAGCAGCCCTTCATGTGTTAGCTTTGAGGTTGTGAATCTAACTTTTCAATGGTTAACACATTTTTTTGTGAATCTTTTAAAAAAAACTTTAACAGTCCAGCTGTAAAGGCTCTTTACCTTCAGGCTACTTCAAAGTCTCACCAACAAACTCGAGTTAAGTCTGGATAGCAAAAATGCTGATATGCTTTTCTGCCTTTTAATTTCAATAACAACTATATTGATCCAAATAAAGGGCAATTTTCCCCCATGACATACATCTGGAAAAGCGTATCCCTCAGGACTGAGCACGGCTGGCACTTAAAACTACTGTGCCAGATTTAAGCCATGTCCACACGGAAACAAAAATAATATATTGCTGTTTTGTTTTTAAAAGTTTTCTGTAAAGCTGGAATTGCTTCAGGAAATATCAGTGTAAGCACCAAACCACTGAAAACCACTAAAAACAATGTAGTGCAAATGCAAAGCCAGTAAGTGGTGCTTTAACGCTAACCCGGAAATGCACCAAAGGACAGATGAAAAGTATGGAGCAAGCATGCTAATACAGATGTTTTGGTTTGTTCATGCAGGCACCTTTAGGGAGTTACACAGTTGCATGGCATAATCATTTCAAGAAAGATGCAGATAGGTATCCACATGTTAATGAAACGGTATGTAGATTTATCCACTCTGGGACCCGTTTTCAAAAAGTATCATTTACAATCAACTGAAAAGTCATTTCTGTGGGGATGACATGCTGATAGGACAAAAAACTTTTGCGTTTACTCCTGAATTTGTTTCCGTGTGACCGGGGCCTTAGGTCTGCCTTAGCTCCAGTTAATTCAACTTCACTGTCTTTCTGATTTAGCTTTTTACAAATAAATACGAGGTTGAAATTAAAATACTAACATTTGCTTTTTTGAAACGTGTCATCCCATTCAGGGTCAGACAAATTTGAGTTAAATTGAAAAAATAAGTCCACAGCTTTATGGCCGGTGGGGTCACGTTAGGTCATTGTTTGCACATTGCTCATAGAGGGAGGTTTTCCCAGAAGCGGTAATCATTGTGTTTTCTTGTTTGTGGAAAGACGAAAAATTTGATTCACCGACTCGTTCGCATGTGCATGCATTTGGAAAAAATGTGCAAATTTACACTTGATTAAAAATGTGATTAATTTCTATGATTATACATTTCACACCTTGTTCCTTCTTACATATGTGCACAGAAGTGAGTCTGTATATTGGGGTGTTTACCTCTGTCTTGGAAAAAGACATTTTTATTCTCAGCTGGACTAACCTGACTAAACAGAAGTTAAGTAATACAGAAAAAGAGAAAATCCATCCAACTTTATGCAAATCTCTTGATTAGATGTGCCTTTGAAACTCGCCCTCTCTGTGATATTTCAGCTCTGAAATTGCTGTTCAATACAATCAGATTTTATAAATTATCATTAAGATTAAACCACAAGTAGATTTTATGGTTTCATAGCTGGACATGCTCACTGTAGTATAAATCAGAGGCCAAAATGAAGATGGAACTGCAGTCCAACATTACAAATGAGTTTTGCTATCCGTCAGCTTGACTCTCTTTCTTTCTCTGATGAACAATATATAATGAACCACTAATGAGCTAACTGTATCATGTGTCTCCTCTCAGGCCTCAGATCTGAGCAATCGCTGCGATCGCCCTACGAGTCCGGATTCTCCATGACAGTGAGTAATACGCCATTAGGATTAACAATCCGATCCCACATACTTTGCAATTAAATACCCCGACCTCTCGCTGCTGTGGGCCATTACAGTGAAGTCATGCTGTAAGGTTAATGAAAACACTGTTTATCATGGGGATTAATTACAGCAACATAATTAATATGTGATTTTATGTTTCTGTGTGATTCAGGACATCGACCCAGAAAAAGATTACACCATCCCCCGCCCTCAGACCACCAACTACCAGGAGCCTTATGATGACTATTATATCGAGGATTAGACTTTCTTCTTAAATTGGTTCATATTCGCACATACAAACTGATTTAAACAAAACCAGAGCTGAGGGTGACCCAGCTCATGCACTAAGTCTGTAAAATATGCTTTTTTAGGTGTAATTTTATTGTGCAAATGTAAATATATTCCTGTGGTGTAAAAAGAAATTTCATTTGCAGTTGCCTTGATGTAAAATCCTCTGCCCGGAAAAGAAAAAGAGAATAATAAAGACCCAGAATGACTCATCACCATTGAGGCTGGATGGCCTTAGATAGTCCGTCTTTCTTCAGGCGGGAAATCCACAGCACAAAAGCAAAAAGGAAGTGTTTCTTTTTTTTTTTTTTTACAATGGTGTGTGTGTCTGTCTGTGTGTGTGTGTATGTGTGCTTCTCTGTGATGGTATATAATAGCCCTGAGGTGAAAGAAGAGGCGTGAAACTGATGTTCTGAAGGTGCCAAACTGCTGAGCAGAGCTGAGGTGTCTGTGAGGAGGAAGAGGAAAAGAGGGACATTAGATGAGATGAGAAACGACGGGAGGAGGAAAGAAGACCTGTCAGCACTTTGGAGACTTGTGTCATCCCTGATTAACATCTTCATTTTCCAAAAGTTATATTACACAAGTTGTGCAAGTGTCTGCACAAAAACAAGAACTGAGGGGATGTGCTCTGGATTTGACTTAATGTTGTTTTCTTACACATTTGTATCGAGTGTTTTTGAATAAAAGGTTTGTGTATAAAAGCTCAGATATTTTGTCATTTGAGAAAAACAGCAGCTCAACTCTGCGCTGTTTTTAAGTTTTCATGAAAAATTAAAATTCTGCTGTTGTTGATGAAGAAAAAGGAAAAATCTTTTATTATTATAAAAAAAAAACTGTATTGATCAGGTATTAAGAAAAAAACAGGAACATTTAACTCATGTGGATGCTATTTGATTGGTAAATTTACAGACTTCAATGGTAACATCACTTAATGGAAAACTTTTTTTTTTTGCTTATCACGCTTCTAGCTATGAGCACAAACACACACACACAGAAAGCCCTATTAACAACAAAAAATGAAATCATTGAAGTGAAAAAAACATAATTTTTGATACTTAACTGCTTACCTGATGCCAAACTTTACCAGGACTTTAACCATCGACTCTCTAGGGCGAGTATTGAACAACGACCCAGTCTTTAACGGAAATATCCAGTCCAAACACATGCAATAAAATATGCAGTATAAAAAATTAGTGAACAAAATTTGTAAAGCAACTATCTTATCAGTGACATAAGCCTCACAGTAAAAAATACAATTTAAAAAAAACTAACAGATCATTTTTTCTCTTCTTTAATTATAACAATCATGTTACTTTGAGTATTGTCTTTTGTAAACACGGGCAGAAGGACCTACCAAAATCCTGTTACGAGTACGAGCCTTTCATGAAAGGCAAAAGGACGAATAATATAAGTAAATAAATAAACATAAATTTAAAAAAAGGATATAATTGGGAAAAATATCACTCAACAAAAATGTTTAATTTATGCAAAGATATGCACAAGATAAATGATAACTAATATATGGGAAAAAGAACAGGTATCATTGCGAAAGTAAAGGGAGACCCCTCTTTTTGAATACTGTAGTTCACATTTCTCTTTCAGCTTAGTTTTTAAAGGTATTTTCTGCCTCTAGATACTTAATTTACTTCACATTAGCAACTGGAGGGTGCAGTATCACAGTCTAACCATCAGGGGGCAGTATTGAGGTATAGCAGCTGAGTCTGGCCTGATACAGCTCGTTTGAAAAGACGATGAATCAGATAGTTCCAGTTAAAAACCAGGTTTTAACAGTAGTTTATGGTGTTTTGGTAAATTTTATACAAAGATAAGATGATCTAACTCCACTGAAAATGACCTAGATGTTCATATAACCCTGTTTGTGATGGTCTGTTTGTCCTGCAGTGACTCTCCTCCCTCAAAGGTCAATTCGTCACTCCAGGAGATACAATCGTCACACACATACACCCACCTCTTATCAGACAACCTTCAATCTATTCTTCCAATTAGCTCGAGTTCAATTACTCAGAGAGAGCGAGCCATCAAATTGGCAATTGGCCTCTTGTGCATTAGAGCAATTAGCAGGGATATGAGGTTTCCCGCCACATCCAACCCATTTACAGCCATTTGACTCCAGATGCAATTAAAGATTGTTCCAGATTGTTCCCCACAGCAGCAATGAGAAAAGTTGGAGGTGGCGGAAGATTATCACGGAGTTTGGTTAATGCAACTGTGCCAAGCACTTTTAATCTTGCGCAACTGCTGAATCTATCAGTCATTTTTGCTGATGGGGAGGGAAAGTTTCTGCACATCCGCAGCAGAGAAAAGGTTGCACTGTTTACCTCTTAACCTTAAATCAAATAAAAGTATCTGTCTCTGTCTTTAAAGCTGCTCCTCCTCTGATTAGATAACATCAGTCCAGTCAACCACTGGAAAGACAAATTAAAGAAAGGGGAGTTTTTAACTGTAACATGAAAAGAGGAGAACTTACATGAACATTATCCAGACGCGCTGACAACTGCTCTGAACCAGATCCCATTGAAGGTGGACTGAGGTGAAGGGGAGAACTGTCCTGTAATCTGATGAATCAAAGTTTGACTCTCTTTTTGAAAACGTAGATGCAGCTCTCTGGAGGGGATTTACTCAGCTTTTTTTTATCAGCACACAACACAAAGAGGAAACTATGTAAAAACAAGATTTGAGTATGCATGGTCATTATGCTAAGAACAGTATGGGGCAGAGGTAGTAAGCATTAAAACACGGCTGTGTAAAAACCAAACAGTTTATTATATACATTCAATAATTATGAAGAATAAACAGAAGGCAGACACAAGGATGGCAAAAGAAAACATTGTGAAAAAAACACATCACTTATTGAAAAGAAAACACTTGGATGATGAGCCTTTAAGAGCATGTGACATTAAAAAAATCCACATGCAATTTCAACTCATTTAGTAAAATCCCTGTACAAAAAAAAAAAAAAAGAAGAAAAAACTCCCACTGGGTTGACTTTTGAGCACAGCTTGGGGAGTGGGGGTCAGCAGCAGCTGAGGAGAACTTTTATTTCTGTGTCGTTTCCAGCAGCAACTCTGAGCTGAATCTGCAGCCTTTAAGTCATGATTTAGTCAAACTAGAAGAGACAAATGCAGGAGTCACGATCACCGCTCGATAACCACCAAACAACACCAGATTTTGTCACCTGGATGAGTTGCTAACTAAGCTTCATATATGATAATATTCATATTAATATTAGCTTAGAGGCAACTTGAGATTTATCCTATTACTTTTGGCCCTATTACTACATATTTTGAGTCAAAATACCACAGTAAAGGATTATTTTCCAGCAGGTAGCTGACAAATAACAGGCTAATGTGGGTGTTCGGTAATCCTTCAGGGCAACTGCATCTCATCAAAGTCGTTCATTAAAAGTGTTCTCTCTCTGGACAATGCCAGGCTCTGATTACTATTTCAAGAGTTTAATACTAAGTCCTTATTCATCATTTGGAACCAGAAACAGCAATTATCACCAGCCACCAAACCCTATTGACAAAACCTTCAATTCTTCCTTACTGAGAATATGGTTGATGCTTTCCTTCCCCCTGTCTGAATTTGTTATCTATTAGCATCGCTGTGTAATTTATGTATTCTGTCACATCAGAACAAACAGTTTTAATCACCAATGACAAACAGCAACACAAATCAGCTCATTAATTAAGGCAGCAGAACATCTACTGATAAAAAATGTGTCTCTGTCGATGGAGTCTAGTGGCTTTTTGATTTGAGAAATGTTTCCAGTTTCAAATATGCATAAATCAAAGGGTAAGTCTCATTTAGATTACAAGGTCTCTTCTTCAATAGATTTAAAAATTCTCTAACTTGGTTGTATTTGTTACCAAACGTAACACCAGAGCCACTGCAGCCTGTTTCATGGCTGAAGATTCCCACATTTTTGGTGCTGCTAGAGAGTTGGATTGTGTTTCAGTGAGAACATAGATTCTACTTCATTTATCTGTTTGTAGCGTTATTTGTTCAAAAATAATTCAAAAACATCTGATCAAACTGTTTAAGAGATTAACACCAAGATGCTTGAGGAAAAAGAGAGCAGAATATCAGTGTCTATCTGTCAAAAATAGGACATTTTGTCAGTGGAGTCTGGTTTGGAGCAGTATCTGTAATGCTCCTCCAACATAATATACCCAATAATCATCCTTTTAAACAAACCAGACCCCATTTACAAAACTTACAATTTTAGTTAAAGGAGATAAAGGTCTTCCATGCCATAATCTGTGTGGTTTAGTCATAACCTCACCAACTTTTAAACAATTAAAAAGACAAATTATAATAGAAATCAGCTGAGACATGAAGGCAGCTGAACTCTCCTACAAAATTGAACTTTTGTCAATGTAGTCTGGTGGCTTTGTTGCAAGGGATTTAACTTATGTTTAGATGCAAACAAGCAAAAAGGATTTTGACGTGATAAAAGGGTCGCTCCTTCGGTTTTATTTTACTTCTGTTTTTGCAACATCGAATGAGAATCTGAGTCTGTCTGTGCAGAAATAAACACTTTTATTTGACAAATTAGGAGCGGGTGCAAAGAGTTACAATGCAGCCACTTCAATCTGTTTGTGGCTGCTGGATGATGAAATCCACTTGAGTACTTTGAGAGCTTTTGAATACTTATTTGAGACCCCCAAATATTTAAAATAGATCCAAGGTTATCAAATAAAGGGTCCCTCTTTGAATCCATTAAGAGGGCAGTTTTCTTCCTTTTTTACTTTAGTGTTATTTTCATTATAAAAGCAAACCTCAGGGGTCCAGGCATACAAAATTAAACTTTACACTTCTGCTATGACCGGTGATTACTAAAACGAGCACAGAGGCACAGAGCAGAGATAACCCAGATTATTGAAGCGGACAGAATCGACTTTCATAAAGCGACTGAAGGGCTGCTCGCTCCCCCCCTCCCCTCCCTGACGCTCTGTACCGGACTTTTAGTGCGAGTCCTCATCACCCCTGTCAGATCACATCGCACAACATCCCAGGTCTTCATCCTCCTGCTTTGTAAACACCGCCCTTCCTCCCTTCTCCTCCAGCACTAGGATTTGATTTCATGCACAAATGAAAAGATTCTCAGACCGACACCCTTCCTCTTAGCATGCATAGCAACACTTCTGATAATACTTGTAAGGAATAAAAAGACAAAAATAAGAGGTAATGCGCATCAAAAATACTCATTGGACCTACTGCACACATTTTCCACAATCATACAAAAACAACATGATCCCTCCTCGCTCTGAACCCCCTGAATTCTTCCTCTCTTCCTAAAAAGACAGCAGGGGACGTTGTTATCCTGTCAGCGAATGATTAATGGCTCAGCTTCTCACCTTCACTACCACAAATTCCCTCCACTCAGCGCCCACACATTGTTTCATTGTTCCAAAAGGTGGCCTCAGCTGGGCCACGAGGACAATGTGTGGACGTGTCCCCTCTGCTCATTTCGCCTGCAATTCGGCTCTACTTACAAACGCCATCCAGCATCTCCCCTCTTTATTTCAGCTCGTCCCTCATGACTCCATCTGCTCTGATTTCCCTTGTCTGCAGCAAACACCTCTGCATCCAAAAAATAAATGAGTGCGTGCGCTGAATTCGATCAAACAGGGTTGTTTGGTTCGCCGCTCAGAATTCCCCAAATTGCTGCAACCTTTTAAACACGAGTCGTTTTTGTAGTCAACGCTGCTTTAGTGCCATTTCCCAGAGTGCTGTTTAAACACTGTACTGACTTCTACAGCTTCAACCCGCCGGTTATAAAAAATACAACAAAGTAAAGGCAGAAAAACAACACCAAAATAAGAAATACATCAGGACCAAAAATGTGCTTTCTTCAGAAAATCTTTGGAACCAAAAAGGCAAACAATAGCAAATAACAACAAAGTGAGAGTAAATGGAGAGGTGATAAATACAGGACAGAGACTTGGTCTATAAACAGTCGATTTATGATGCCTTCACACAGAACTTTAAAACGATTCAGCCTGAACGATCCCAGAGCGCATGATGAAGGTTGTAAAGTGACTACTGACCGGAGACTGTACAAAAAGAGGGACGACAGACTGCTCTGAAAAATGAAACCAAAACACCTTCTGGTGGCTGATTGATTGGCAGCCGTTTGGGTACAAAGACCACCTCCTCCATGGTAACAGATGGGGCATGGGTCAAACTTTAAAATCCGAATTCAGCCCAGGTCATTTTCCCCATGTTTAGCTATTCTCACGCTGATTTATGTCCCGGTTTTCTTCTTATTATAAGTTCAGTTTAATTAGATATTTGATTTATTTAAAGTCTCCTGATGAAACCAACCCCTGCCATGCTGATTCACTATATACCACACCATGATATGCTTTAAATGCAGAGTTTTGAAACAGTGTGGAGGGAAAGTTAATACAAAAGTGGTGCTGCCAGTAGAAGTAGTAGTGTTGAATGTTGTTTTAAAACAGTCTGTTACACTTACGTTCATGGACAAATTCTCCATTGGTATATCATATATCAGCAAAACTCCAAGTTTGTCCATCCCTAGTCAAAATCATGCATATAAAGCAAATAATGGCACTACAAAGAAAACAATGTGGGGCATTCGTTTAGATCGAAGACAAGAAGTGAAGCAGCCACAGTGGTCAAAGTCTCTAGGAGTCCTTCAGGTGCTCAGTGCACCACATGATGAGAGAAGGCAGAGACGTGGCGAAAGGAAAACAGTCAGTATGTTTACATGTGGTTTAGAAAAAAATCTGCCGAATCAAATTTCTCAAACTCAGAAAACGCAGCTGAGGATTGATTATATCTTCCATGATTATATCACCTCCATTGAACTGAAACTGGTCTAAGCTGGTCGCCTATGTGACCTGGAAGTTGAACAGCATAAATGTGTTGGAGAATAACAATCTGTCGGCGTCTTAATTAGTTGACATACAGCCTGTTAGCCTCTGTCTGGCCTCTTCTGTTTGTCGATCGTTTTGGTATGGGATGTAAAAGGTCAACTAAAAGGTTGGCCCGATAAGAACAAGCTGAAAGCGGGTAAGTCGCCATCATGATAGAGACAGACGTACTTTTGTCAATAAGCCCGTTCTTGCCTGGTGCTTATAAACTGGGACAAGCACGGCAATCGAGTTAAACTGCCCGTATGAGCCAGTGCATGTAAACGCACTGACTGACTCAAGAGTCACTGAACTTTCCATGAACAAGAGTGTCTGAATCAAGCTGACACAGGCTTCTTCTCTGCTGTGGACAGTGACGACTTGAATATCCATCATACTGTAACTGTAATTTAAATAATGGTATCAGGAGAGGAGGGGCTCAGCTCTATCAGCTCCATGTAACCTGTACATGATGTCAGAGAGCATCACTAGGGGGGTATTTGGCTTCACTTTTGCACAACACGAGGAGTCGGAGACCCATCATCCATCTTTATACACAGTCAATTCTACTGACAGGATCCCTGCCACATTAAAAATGATGAATATAAATAGGAAAAAAATGATAAATTGTCATCACTTCAAAAGACTCCCATTACATGATAGCAGTCTCTTTGTTTCATTGTTTTTCTAATCCGAAGAGATCGACTGTTCTGCTGACTGGAGATCAGACGCAGAGCGGCTCCTGGCAGAAATATCTCCACCTGCCAGAAGGAGAATCCCGTTTGGCCGACTGGCGAGGTGATTAGTTCCCCATGTGGGTCTCCCCGCTTCAGATCTGCGTGTCTAAATCTGGTTTGTTTGTGTTCCGCGGCTTCTTTGTCCATCTGAGCCTTTTTCTGCAGGAATGTGTGACGGTTCAGAAGAGAGAGAAATGTGCCTGGTCCTTTTTTGGGAAAGAGAAGCAGAAACTACGAGCAGATCCAGGATTAGGGGGGGGGCATCAGTTCTCAAAATGGGTGCACGTAAAGGAGCTGAAATAACCAGATCTGACATCTGGACTTAGTTTTGTAGTTACAGTAATGAATGGGAAATGTGTCGACCAGCAATAAGGACAAATGAATGGCTCCATCACTGCAAGAAATGGACAGTTTTGAGGCGTCCAGAATGACGTTTTCGCTCTGAAACTTCTTCGAAATGGCAGCAAACAAAGGAAAGAAAGAAAAACTGAGGTAATGCAGAAAAAGTCACTGGTTTTTTTCCTTGTCTCCTTTTTTTTTTAATTTGTTTTTTTCCTTTTACGCTGGGGGAAAGTTTTAAAAATGACAAAAAAAGAGAGAGATTTATTCCCATGCTGTTTTGTTTAGAGTCAGTGGTTTTCTGTCAGTCAGAAGCTCCCAGGTTCCCTCCAGCTGAATGTCCAACCTTTAAAAAATAACAAGAATAATTCCCACATCTTCTTCCACTCAGAGGAGTCCAATTATTTTGTGCATTTTTAGACCACGTTGCCAAACCAGAGGGACGCTGTAGCTTTAAATCAATGTAGTGTTTAAAAACATAAGTACCATTAAAGTGATGCAGGATGAGAAGAAAGGACGAAGCTCGACTTAGTGTGTGTGTGTGTGTGTGCAGGTCTGATTGGGTTTAACGGGGCAGTTCAGGGACTTCAGAACAAAAAGAAGAGGTGTACAAAGAGACAAGCAGCCTCTCTCCTTTTCGGTCCCGTAGTGTTTGGAAAGAACGTCCCAAAATTGTGCCCCAAAAGTTCAAAGTTTTAGGCTCCGGCTTTGAGACGCTCGTGGCAGTTTTGTTTCCACGTTGGCGACACACAGAAGAGCACAGAAACGGATGATGTGGCAAATGACCTCTCTCCACACAAAAGAGAGAGAAAGAGAGAGAGAGAAAGAAAGAGAGAAAGAGAGAGAGAGAGGAAAAAACAACATGGGTTTTTGTTTTAGTGTGTCTGCAGGACAATGGAGGGGAGCTGCTGCCAAACAAAGAGCTTAAAAAAGGAGGTTTGGAGCGATGTGAAATTCCTTGGGTGTGATTTGTGGTTTTAGTAAGGAGCGAACCGACTGTATCCCGCCCGATATAAACTGGCCTGAAAGAGACAGAAAAAAAAAGGTCAGGAAAGAAAACCAGGAAAAATGAAGTAACGGCTGTAAATAACATCTTTAAAGGGTACAATTAGCCATAAAACACTCATAATCAGGGATTTATGGACCATGTTGCTGCCCTCATATTCCTAAATTCTAGGATTGTGGACAGCATGAAGAAAGAGCTGTGCTGTAGTAGCATACTAAGGAAAAAAATTAGAAAACTTTCCTATTATCCAGCTGTGCTAAATACTTGATTTTGATTGGTCGAAACCCTGTGAAACATCGATAAACTGTCAATAGCAACAGTGGTGCCACATGCTATTTCAAATCAACCCGCAGAAAAGAAAAGAGTCCAGCACATTTCACCTCTGCCGAGATGTAGAAAAAATGTTAATTTCCATCTCAGGCTGGTCTCAAGAGGGAGCAAATAATGATAGTAAGCAGGTTCAGATGTAAGAGCAGCCTGAGGAGCTCCAGGGCCCCAAACATCTCTGCTGAAACTAAAGTGGAGCAGCACAGCAGCAGAGCATCTCATAGTTACTGATCTCTGCAAACTTACCTAAACAATAAGAAGCAGAAGTGATAGCAAGAGTGATATTTGCCTCATTTATGAAGTCCTGTTTATCTTGTCTTATGAAGACTTTGTTGGAAATGTTCAGTTTGATTTAAGTTCTAACTTGACCCTGAAATTACAATGTTCAGTCTGTTGTCAGTTCTTCCTGTGCACTGAATTCTGATCAGCCACTCCAGAAGCTAACCTGAAATCCTTAACCTTGATATCTGAGGAGGCACTTGTATTAAAATCAACTATTTGGGTTGTGTTCAACAGGGTGCTTGTTTTTTTTAATAGCAGGTTAAGTGTTGCATCCAGTGCTGTGATGACTTCAAGACTTCAACTTTCGTGACTTTTGTGCATCATCAAACTCTTTGTTTTGTAGAGTTTGAGGAAGTTTTTCTCACCATGGCTCCGACTCCGTAAGCAGCAGCAGCTGGAGTTAAAGCATGGTAGGGGTCTGTAGTGTACACACGGCCGTAACTGGTAACACAAACACAAACACAACAAATAATTCATTAAGATGAAAGACATGTTTGAAAGAACATACTTCAACATCTCCCATCATACTTCCAGCATTACAAACTGCTGCTTTAACATCAGACTCTCAGATAAAGCCGCCATGGCTTCAAACAAACAAACTGTGGATAAATCGAGCATGTATTTGCCAACTAGATTTCATAGAGTATTGCACAGAAACTTCAAAGTTTGAGGGGTCACTCTGGTTTAGGCGGTTATCGCACAGCTACAGCGTAGAGTCATCACATTAAAGCAGGTTGAAGCCTGTGATCTGTTTTCACATTTACAAGATTTACCAGGGTAAAAACCAAAGGAACAAAAAAAGAACAAAAAAAAAAAACATCCCAGTTGTTGACATGAAGATTTCTGGTTTCATGACAACTTGAAGAATCCACTGTGCAAAGCTCAGATTTGATCTTTCATGTTTTCTTGCACTACAAAGAGTTTAACTGACAGGAGCCGTAGTTCAATACAGAGCAGGCGCTGTGGGGTGCATTTGTTGAGTGGTTTCTTATTTACAAGAAAAACAAACTAGTGCTCCGGAGAATATGACTTAAAATTCACAATCAGACTCTGTAATCTTCAACATATTCCCTTTTTTTGAGGACTAATTTAATTTCTTGACGAGACCACGGAGCATTTCAGGTGAATCTTGTGCTGCAGCTATCCACATTAAAAAACTGTTAGCTAAGCTTTTATCATTCTCATCTCATCCTCCATTAGTGCAGCTTCATTGAACGTGAATGTCCTCAAATATCCCCCTCTGCTAGAACAATGCATCGACCTTGGATTCCTCTGTATAGTCTCTGTCTCTACAGCGGAGCTGCACAGCGGCGTATCTGTGAACGCGTGTGTTCTGGGTAGACCTCACCTGTCGCTGTAGGCGGCGGCAGCGGCAGTTGCTCCGGTTACAGCGGCCGGCTGAGCGTAGCGATAGGCAGCAGCAGCGGCGGCGGCAGCAGCGGGATAGCCTCCCTGGAGACACACACACACACGCACAAAGAAGACACAAACGTCAGAGAACATGACACTGAGGACACCTGAGCCAAGGTGTGAGTACAGGGGAGGCGGGGCTACTGTGGAAATGGAATATACTGACATTTCAGTGCAGAGAAAAGCTACATGAGCAAAGAATTGAAAACTTTAGAACCTTTTTTGTATCTAATCTACCTATTATTGGACTATTACCACTGTTTATTTTCGACTAATTTTGTTTTCAAACTATAATAATTCTTAGGTTATCTTTAATTAAAAAAAAAATAGAATTTGTGGAGTGTACCTTTTTATTTCCTTTGTTTCAATAGAAGTTACAATTTTCTTCTATTTTCATTCACATTTTCCTGTATTCCTGACACGTGAAACTAAAAGTCTCAGTATCAATTGTAACATAATAACCAGCTGCCTAATATTTGTTTTTTGTTTAACTGTCCTGACCATAGACTGTATATACTATGGACAACTTTGTTCCGCCTTCTACATGTATACAGATTTGAAGCCGAAAAGCTCTCGGTATTTCCGCGATTTTTCTTCATTTCCTGAAACCAACATTGCGCAGTAGCGTTGTACGCATTCGGTGGTAGAGTCACAAAGAGTTGCTGGGATGACGCTCAGCTCAAACCACGTATCCCCCCCATGAGTTACGCAATCTTCGTACGCCTATAGGCTGTACCAAGAGTCAATCATAGAAAACATGAACCCCCTCATAACTTTTAAAAATGGAGCTTCACAGAAAAAAAGAGGACTTGAGCACAAACCAGTCTTACAGTAACTACGTGTCAACATCATGAACAGGGGGGAGAAAATTTATGTTCTGTGTCAATTTCTAAAATTTGTCCACAGCTCTATAGGGATAGCTGGCGGAGGCGGGATTTATGACCTATACTGCAGCCCATCACCAGAGGGTGCTGTTCTCACGGTGACTTCACCCAGCGAGGAGGCAGACGGCGTCCATTCTATATACAGTCTATGGTCCTGACCTGCTGAGGCATGGACTCCACTATGACCCCAAAATGTGTGCTGTGGTACCTGCTACAGGATTATTCTGGATTTCATTTTACTCTGAACAAAAAAATAATGGTTCAATGCATTTCTAAGAGTATTTTCTTCTTTTTCTTTAATTTTCTTGTCCAACATTCACAAAAGATTGTTTGTCAGTATATTGCATTTCTGTACAGGAGAAAGAGGAGGAGTAGTGGGGTTGGATTTGGGACAAGAATGGACTATCAGTGAGACAGAAAAAGAGAAATCAGACTGTGGGTATAAAGTTAGATTGTTTAATTATTACTACAGGAGAGAGGGGAGGGGAAACAGTGGATAACAGTTATCACACAAATAGAAAACTCATCGGGAAAGAGAGGAAAACACGGATAGTTTGACACCAACGGTTACCAGAAGTTCTGGCGCAGACATGTTTGTGATATTCTGTTATTTTCATTTGTGTTCTTTAAAGCAGATTGAGGAGACAGAGAAAAAAAAGAAAGAGAGGGAAATAAAGTCACACACAAACCCACCCACACAAGCCTTTACTGTCTTAGAAATCCTCTCCTCACACTGACACAGCATGCACACAACCCAAATTAAACCTACTCCGAAAATAAACACATAATTACAAAACACACCACCACTGCATTTGGATGGGGACAGAACAGAGCACAGCAAGACAGAAACACCTGAGCGTCCTCGAAAAAGGAGATTATGTTGTTAGAGGGAGAGAGCAAAGCCTTCTGGGTAAGCAGATGGCAGAGATACAGTATGTTTGCATGCAGCAGCTGATCAGCACATGCTTTAGTTATCATCCTGAGGGGAAAGTGTTAATTCAGAAATTAAGGTTTTTATTTTTAGAGTTTCTCAGATCCTGGGCTTTTTTTCTTAAGAACAGCAGCCTATAATCTGAAAGAAATTATGCTTTTACGTGTTGAGTCATAAGTTACACAGTGAGGTCTTTTACTCTTCTATAAAGCCGGTGTTGTTGATCAAATAAAGATGGGTTTCTTTCTCTTTCAAATGTAATCAAGCTGAAAAGAGACCAGGTTTTCTCTCCATCATACTGAGAGAATGGGCCCGTTTACACCTGGTATTAACATACATCCTCCGATCACAGACCGTCAGCGCTCAGTGCAGCTGTTCACGCCTGCTGTTAAAATGTGCTTACACCTGAGAGAGACCACTTGTCATTTTTGTTATTGGATGAATCTCACCTCCACACTCTACATGCAAATACAACCCTGATTCTAGGCTGTAAAAACAGATTTTGGGTGGTTTACAAATCTTTACAATCCTCTGTTTTATTTCATGATGCTGCCATTTATTTAACAAGTCAGCACCGCAAGACCAAGACCAGTCCAGCGCCTGGACTCTTTTCCTACAGATCTCTATCTGGATGACGGCACATGTTACTCTGATCCATGAACATATAGTCAAAATCACAGTGTGTTCCCAGGTGTGTAAGCTGCTAGGGCTGGGATGATATGCTTTTTCCCCCGATTCAATTCTTCTACGATCTTTTGGATGCTGATTCGATTTAAATTGCAATCCCATGATATTGTTGATTTTCTCAATCTTTAGTCTGCATTTTTAACATCAGTGAAACAATTGAATGATTATGATTGTCTACTGACTATTACAGGAACCATATTTCCTCAAAAAATACACATCACATGTGAGTCGGTTTTTAAGATTTATTCTTGCATTTGAAAAAAAAAAATCGATTTTTGAAAAATAAATCGATTTAAAAATTGTAAAACAAAAAATCGCAACTCTTATGTGAATCAATTTTTTCTCCCACCCCTATAAGCTACCAATACCATGGATCCATAGGCGTCCCCTTATCATCATGGAGGCTGTCTTTTAGATATGTGCTTACAACAAGCTGGGTGGTCCCTCGCCTCTTTTTTACAGACTAAATGCTGTGTCCATGGTTTCCAAAAACTGAGTCAAATTCTGATTCACCGAACCACAGAACAGTTATCCACTCACCCTATTACTCTGTAAACTGTTGAACTGTTTGCTCATGCAGTCTCTTTGCCCGGTTTGTTTTATTTTATAACACCGGAGAGTTTTTCAGGTCAAACATTTGAGATGTAGACTTTGCGCCATTCAATTAAACATCGAGTTTAAATTATTTGCAAACCATCAAAGTCTGTTTTTGTAAATAGTTCACTCAGCGTTTCAACTTTAAAAGAACTGAACATGAAGCCTCGACTGTCTTTGTACGTGTATAACACACTTGAATTGATCAATAAATAAGACGCTGAGTCTTTCAAAACACAGAGGGAGGATGAGTGAAAACTTTTGATGCTGATTGGACTTTTTCTTAATTAGGAAAGTGTATGAACTTTCAAATAGACCGGAGCAAAGATAAAGATCCTTTGATGCTCATTACTCCTCTCCTTTCTGCAATGTGTGTATTCTCTCTGAGTTGCATTACAATGAACACTGATGAAGTGCTTGTTGGCTATACTCCATGTGCAGAATCCTCCCATGTCGAAAAATAAACATACTGTCTCTACCTAAATCGTTTCCACACAGGATTTGAGTTTATTTGTTGATTCCTCCTCAAATTTATGCCATGTGTTTGCAAGCACTAAGTCCAGAGCTATATTTCTTCTCATAACCGTTATCAGTCTTCCTCCTGTGATCGGCTCTCTCAGGATGCATGGCAACAACAGGAGTAAACAGGGCCAAAGAAAAATTACCCTCGCTATATTTAGTTGTTTAGTAAACAAACAAACAAACAAAGCCCTTGACCGCAGTTGGGAAAATACTGCACACATTTCAGAGAGTTAGTAGAAAAATAATAATTCAAAGCAGTGGTAGTTTTTTGTCTTCAAATGACTAATAGGAAAATGTTCCAGGTCAGATCAGATCAGAAGGTGGTTCATAAGATCAGAGGAGGTGTTACAGTCAAAACAATAATGCACACTGTGGGTTTGGTGTTGAGTTGACCCTACCTGAGGCAATCTGGGACTAAGGACTGAGTCCTGAAACACTAGTCTATAGAGAGAACAGAAACAACTGTTGTCAACCTGGATACACACACACACACACACACACACATACACACGCACACATACACATGCATACTCTTGATCCAACGCTCACAAACTCCAACAATGAAGCACACTGCCGCATCCGCCCACAGAGCAGCCTTTAAGTGGAGGGAAATTTAATCAATACAACCTATTTTTCTCAATTTTATGCTAAGGTGCATTTTGGCACAACAGTAACCTCTCTACATGTAGGGTTTTGTAAGTACCAGTGGGTTTTTTTTGTGTTTTTTTTTTTGCAGCTCTGTGCAGCGCATGACCAGACGCACATGCAGAATCAACCCCAAGAGGAGGAAAAAAAAGGAGCAGGAGAAAAAGGGTGTGAGGGACGGGAAGGTGTGTCTGTGGGAGGTGAGTTTACTTACATATAAGTCTGCAGCGCCGTAAAACCCATCCTGATACACCACACTGAGAGAAGAAGAAAGGGAAGGAGGGAGGGAGGGAGGGGGGTGCAAACGGAGTGGTGCACAAAACCCAAAACCAGTGAAACAACACAGCAAAAGGAAAAAATTAAAAAAAATATAGTAAAAAAGAGGAGAGAGAGACAAGAGAGAGAGAAAAAGTAGTTATTTCACACCCATGCAGCATGCAGAGGAAATACAACTCCCATTACAGCTCCACGAAAGAAACCTTAACATTAAAACAAAAGACTCTTGGGGATTGTGAGTTAAGTCCATTGAGCTAAAATGAGACCATAAAGTGCGATTGTTCCCCAGCGAGGTAATAAAGGTTACTTTGAATGATCTTTTTCTGTTTTTAGTGGAGCACATATTGAGAGGGTATTTCCTGCAGCCCCCCAGTTTCATCTTGTTTACTTTATCCCAATGTCATCACAGCCGCAGGGGCCATTAACCAATCGATTCTGCTTTGATCGCAGCAGTCACAACCCTGTTAGCCAATCAGCATTGCACAGCAACCGCATGCACAGTACAAACACACACATAAAAAAAAAAAAACACAGTGAACATGGATGATTTGGAGTGAATGTGTGTGCAGGGTGGCTCTTTCTGCATAATGACTGCATGCTGTGTAAGTGTGTGTGTGTGTGTGTGTATGTCAGTGCGTGTGCAAGTTTATTCAAATCCTCCATTGCTGGTATGTGTGTTTATTCAAATGAGCCTTCAAATGGTGCAATCCCATTAGTGCGTCATACTCGGCTGAATAGCTTGTGAGCTGACTGACAATGTGCCAGTTGGACCGCTGAGGGGAGTGAAGTGTGACTGATGTTCGAGTGTATGAGCACAGCTATATTAAACTGAGACCTGGTCAAACACTGTGCAGAAAATGACTCTGAAATGGTTTTCCTCAATAGATCCACCAGGCTCTGAACAGAAATACTACTCATCTTGACTTCCTGTACGTCTAAAATGTGTTTTATAAAACACAAACAGATGATTAGGGACAGCTCAAAGTAAGGCTGGGCGATAAATGATCTCGACAGGGGGAGAGACATGAACATTTATGTTAAACGCAATAATGGACATGAGTATTTATGCGCTATGTAGATATGTGAAACAGCCTCTCACAACATAAATATTAATAAAAGCCAATAAGTCTGTGGTTCTTTGACTGGATCTAAAGTAAATTTCAATATTTAAGACACTGTTAAAATGAAGTCTATTAATCTTAAGTGGTAGCTCAGCTGGCAGCCCCCTCACTGCTCAACCTGTGGCCAGTACATGCCAAAAACATTATGAAAATGCAGATTTCTTTGACACTGCTCTTATATGAGTGCTTATTTTTTTCTTCATTTAAAACTAATGTAATTCAAAAAGTTTGGAGAAGTTTTCTGATTTCATATAGTTACTACATGTTGTTTGAGCTGCTGTACAAGTTTACGCCTTCCACTTTTATGAAAAATAGAAATTGATAATATAAGAAGAACTTTATTCATGGGTAAAAAAAAGCTAATAATGATGAGAGCAGCTATTAGTTAAGCTGTAAGTACAGAGTACAAATTGACACTAAAAGGTGAATGGACTATGTATATGTTTGTGTTTAAAGCAATTGGCTTCAAACTATATAAACAATAACACAGGTTCTAGTATGTGGATGTCAAAGGCAGCTCTCTTACTGGATATCCTGTGTCTGTCAAAAGAATCATCAGATCACTCATTGTTAGCAAAGTTTTTTTTTACAGTTTAATATTAAAATAACTGAATTTTAAAGGAGTTGAATTTTAAATGGATATTACAAGCAGCTCAGCACTCTGTTCCTCTTACTAGACATCCTGTTAACTAAACAGAATGAGAGAAGCACCAATATTTAACCTGAAACTGCTTTAATAATGGTTTCTTATGGATTATGATTACATGATTTAGGACCTAGAGGAAATTGGATTTCTGTGGAATATTAGGTGTGGAAAGATCACTGTTGAAATTGTTAGAAAGCCAGTTAAGTTGTGAATTTTCAATTAATTTTTATACCTGTAATATATCAACTAAAATGAGGCATATTGCCAGAGGTTGAAAATTAAAGAGATCATTTTTGTCATCTGTATCGTCCAGCCCTACTTCAAAGCATGTGTGGTCAACAACTCTTTAATAAACCTTGATATCTTTCTTACCCAGGGTAAGCAGGGATGGCGGGCTGAGGCACGGCAGCCCGCACAGCGCTATACACGGGTCGGCCTCGACCCCTGAGGTGGGCGCCACGGAAAGCTGCAGCTGCTGTGGTGGCTGCTGCTGCTGCAGAAGGGTATGGAAACCCTGGAACTGAAGGGGGGAAGGAAGCAAGTGAAGAAAAGGAGGGATATATTGAGAAAAAGCAGCACATTTTGGGTGAGAAAAGGTCAACGTGAATGGAAAAATATGATGGACGGTGGCTCAGGGTGAAGTTAGATAAAGCAAAGAGGGAGCAGGAGTAATTCAACTACTGCCTTCAGGTCTTCATATCAATAAAAGTGTCAGAGTGGAGAACTGCAGAGCTCCAGCAGAGCATTAATATAAATTAAGGATTGGACTGTGAGTAGGTTGCAGCAGGTTTCCAGCATGACAAGGGAAGGGAGACAAGCCTCACCTGCATACAGCTCAGGTCCGTAGACAGCCCCCACCATGGGACTCAGTTTCCAGCCCGCTGAGGATCACATAAAAAGGGATGGTTAAAATGGGCAGTTAAAAAAAATCTACTGTCCAACATGTCAACATACACAGTACTGTTAAAAACAAACTAGGGCTGCCAAATGATCCAGTTTTAAAATCATGATTAACTGCATTAATTAATCACACATTTGTAATCACCTTTATGTGTAAATTTAAGTACTCTTATCAAAATGGTAGTGTATGAATACACTCTCTTTTTTATTGGTCTGAAAATATGGCATCAGTATTTTTAAATGTGTATTTTAAACTCACTGGAGCTCTTGTTGGTTAACTGAACAGATTTTAATACTATAGTATTAGGTAACATCTCTTTCAGATTGCTGGGAAGCCAAAATCTCAGTGAAACACTTTTCTTTCAGTTTCTCACCAAACATGAATTTCCTTGTTCTTTCTGTGACATTTAAACACATCATGTGGAAGTTTTATTTATCTACAGCCAATAGTTTTACAATTTTTCAGAGCCGACCTTGAATGCATCATAATATATCCTAATGATGCCTGATTTGGCGAGCAAACTAGCCTCAATCCTGTGGGTTCTTACATGAATGTCAAGATCCAAAACTTGGGTGTGATCACCACAGCAGCAGAGAATGATTCAGGTATGAGACTGCATTTAGGAATCTTGACATCCTGGCAGTTTAATACCTTGAGTCTGGTACTTAAATGTTGTTTACAAACACTCTTGGATAGTTGACGTACATTTGTGCATCAGTGATTTAACACACACACGGATCAACTCTAGCTATAACGTTCCATAATGGGCCCCACAAGACTCCATGGCAGCTCAGCATCATTGATTTTCGGGTTCTGGAAGATGTGGAGAATAGTCCATAATAACTGAGCTTCCATTTTCTCTTTAGATTTGTTTCTGCCTGCACTCCACACAGCTTCTCGGTATCAAACAGGACGGCTGAGGGTCATAGTCACAGAATGTGCATGCCGTAATTGTGTGTCAAAAAAAATGGTGGCGTTGAAAGGAATCGCGTTTCTGATGTAGTAACTTTGACAGTCCTATTACAAACACAATTCGCACTGCCACTCACAGTAATCTGTGTCTGTTACTGGTGCGCATGATTCATTTAGGCCTTAAAGGGCAGTTTCGTCTCCTTAAAAGAGATGATGACACATGGAGAAATGCTCTTTGCTTGTTTCTAAATTAGATAAAGCAACGTTTCCAACGAGGCACCCACCATTGCCATCATTTAACTTCATGACGCCCCTACAGGAATCCATGTCACTAAAACTCATCCATGTTTTGGCTTTAAGATGTTTTATTCTGCCTGTGTGCACATGTCCTGTTTATATTACTAGGCAGTAGTGTGTGTGAGTGTGTGTGTGTGCTTGTTATCGTTACCATAGGGCAGTGTGCTGAGGGCCTCTCCGTTCGGGTAGGGGCTGACCATTTTCTTGTTAGTCATCACCCTGGCGGTGGCGTTATTCACCTGGGGACAGAGGGGCAGACAGTTAGACGCAAACACACCAACACACAAAGACACAGCAGGGGAAACACACAGAGCTAAATCACAAGGCTGATTTAAAGGTCTGTTTTTACAGCAACACTGTCTGATTTATGTGTTCATAATACTACTGCCTCCATTTTTAATACACTTTTTGGTGCACCTCGGATTTCACTGGTAACCGAAAATAAAATGTCCTAGCTTTGTTCTCGTTTTAGATTTTTAGTGGTTTCATACTTTGACTTTTTTTAATCTATTGTACTGTTTATTTAATCCAAAATTTAAACCCTTGCAAAAGCTCTTTTTCTACGTGTGTATGTGTGTGTGTGTGTCTGGAGTTGTGTGGTTCAGGCTGTTAAGGGGGTTTTCAGTCATCATGCAATTAAAGGCAAGCAGCCCGCAGACATTTGGTGATTCATCGTGGAGCTGCCATGGGTGACAGTGGTTATATTGCTGCTGCGATGACACATAGAGTTGCCGGGCTGTGCTTTGTGCCTGTTTTCTGCATGCACAGCAGAGGTGTAAGTGTTGTGGACTACTTTTGTAATGATGTGTGCATGCTCTGTGCATGCAGGCTGATATTTCAGTCTTATGCTGGGGCTTTCAGCCTAAGATGGCTGATAATCTTCTCTCTGAGCTTCAAAGGCTCACACTCTGCTCTCTTGATCTCTCCTCATCTTCCTTTGATGGGCTTTAAGAGAAGGAGATTGTGTCTCGGTAATAACCCCACCGGTCCAAGTGTGCTGTCACGGCGCTACATGGTGAGCCATAGATTAATGACCTTTTGGCTGGATGAAGGGAAAGTGTGTGTGTGAGTGTGTGTGTGTGTGCGCGAGAGCGACAGAGGAATGAGAGTGTGCTCAAACACGCGTCCTCCCCATTCAGAAGACCATTAAGTCCTGGACTCTCACTGCATCCCTCAATGAGTCATGTTCTTTATCTGCTAAGCTTCATTTACATGGAAATCAGGTTTACCTCATTTTTCCCTCATTGCGAAAATGACAAGGTCAGTGGCAAGTGATTCAATTAGCCTAGCATGGCTAGCTCTGTGATACAGCAGACCACAAGTGTTTAAGCATAGACCTTTTTAAAATGTGTATGGATGTGGTTTTTTCCTTCTAGACTTTATTTAATCTTTTATGTCAATGAAACAGTAAGAAATATTTAAGGTTTAAACTAAATGTGTTTACTATGGGTAATGCGCAGGATAGTGTACGTTCTTCGTGGTTGCTTCTCTCCATATGCTTGGACTCTGCTTTTCCTGAAGTCTACTGTGAAAGCTGCAAATGCAGTCAGCACACAAGTCACAGAGGATAACTTGTCTACAGAGGGCATGGGGGTATCATCTCATCTCATATATCATTTTGGACTGTACCTTATTATATTGTGTTGTATCCTATAATATCATACTGTATCAAAATGTATGGTCTCATATAGTGTCATATTGTATTGTATGTATTGTATCATGTCAAAGCATAACATATCCTATCATACCAGAACATGGCATACTGTTTCTGATGGTATCATTTTGTATCATAACATCTTATCCTGTCACATCCTATTTTTTCGTGTCACATCATACATATCATGTATCGGATCATTTTGTATTGCATTAATTCATACCGTATCATCACATATATTGCATCATCTAGTATCATATTCTATCATAACACATCATTTTATATCATATTATTTTGTAGGGTTTCATATCCTATCGTATGACACTTACACATCTTTAATCGTATTGCATATTATTGTGTTGTTTTGTATCATGCTGTATCATATCATTTATTATTTTGTCTCATGTCACACCATATTGTATGATATATATTTTCATGTTTCAGTAAGTATTGTCTTTTAAAGTATCTTCTCATACTCCATAATATTATTTTGTTTCATATTGTATTCTATTGTGTCATATTACAACATATTTTTCATATTAAAGCATTTTATATTGTATTATACTGTATCGTGCTGTAGTTTATCATATTCTGGCGTATCCCACAATACTTCGTCATAGCATATTGTACTGAATTGCATCACAACAGAGTATCACTTGGTACTGTATTGTATTTCACTCTATTTTTTCTCATATTGTAGTACATTATGTGTTTTATTATATTGTCCTTTATCTTGCATTGTTTTTTATTGTATCATATCACATGTTCTATCTTGCCAAATTGTACCATATTTTAACTTGATGCAACGAATGGTATTTACTCATAACACATCACACATTACTCATATCACATTTTGTGCTCTTTTGTAACTTTTAGCTTCTGTTGCATCTAATTATACCAAATCTTATCCTATTAAATGGTATCTTACTGTACAGATAGCATCCTATCTCAATGGAATGTACTGCTTCTTATCAAATTGTTTTGCATCCTATTGCATTACACCCTTGTTGTACAGGATCATTTAATGTGTCTTTTTGTGTGTTGGTTGCATATCTATTTTTATGTTGTGTAAGTGTAACCGCTGTAAATTGGTTAATAGGAGTACATGCAAATTAACAGCATATGGAGGGCAAAAATCAGTTTTGAAAGTAAACAAAGTCAGCCTTTTTAATCCCGCCTCTGTCCTCCCAGTGCAGCCAGAATAATAAACCCCAGATAAAATAGTCACATTTCCATATGAAACCAAACTTGTGAGGTTTACATACCTAAAAGAAAAAAAACTAAAAACAAAACACAAGGGAGAGAAAGAGGGGGTGCAAAAACATTTCTTTGACAAAATTAATAATCATGTAACACAGAAATTACACGCAGCCAAATATGGGCGCATCACATGACCAAGAGTGAGTAACAAATCAAAAAAAGTATAAAGAAAAAAATTCAGCCAATCAGCAAGCATCGGATGCAGCATAGAGACCAATCAAAACGATCGCAGCACTCCCACATCGAACATGTACGAGACAAAGATGGGACGAATCAGGAAGGGATGCAGGTGAGGAGGAGAGAGACAGAGCCAGTCCATTTACAAAACAAATCAGGACAACGTAAAGATGAAGTGAAGAAAGGGAAAAAAAAGGGAAGAAAGTTTACATGAGCAACACACACAGTAAAAAAACTGATAACAATTACTGTATAAAACAAAACATATATCCCAAGGTGCATCATTCAAATAAAGCAATTAGATTTGGTGACCATTCTCCTGAAAATCTCATTTTATGTGGTGGGTTGAGAAACAGAGCACCAAAAGATGGAGGGGGAGCAGAGAGAGAGGGAGAGATCGAGAGAGAGAGAGAGGGGGAGAGATAGAGAGAGAGAGCGGGAGAGAGAGAGAAAGAGAGAGCAGTCCTCATTCCCAAAAAAGGAGAGAAATAAAATAAACATGAGACACGTTGCCAGGCATTAGAACTGTGTGTCACAAACTGAGACCAGTACACTATGACTACGACTACGACTACTACGACTACTCGTACACAGACAATCCACTACAAGAAAACCAAACCAAAAAAGAGAAAAATAACAAAATGGCAGCATAAAAGAGACCCAAATCAAACAATAAGGTAAACCCCATATCGGTTCAGAAATGCATATGGTCACACAACATTAGCTTTTTCATTAAATGAGCACAGTTCCTATACAGTCTGTTATTTTAGACATTAACAAGCAAACAGATCCCTGCAGAAATATTTTATCGTTCTGCAAAAGAACAGTTTGTTTTAGTGAGTATCTGCAGGGGAAATGCCTCTTAAGGCCAGCTCAGACCAAAGACAAATCAAAGGGCACCATTGCTTTCTATATACCTGTCTGCAATGATCTAAAAACACTTCAACATGTACTTTTCTACAACAGTTTTACAGCGTTAAGGTCTGCGCAGCCATGAGGATTTTTTTTAACCCTAAGGGAAGAATTTTGGACAGGTAGGTGGACTTGGGCAAATTAGTAAAGCACAGGCACCAAAACCAGTAAACTGGCAATAGAAAACACTAGTGTCTTAAATATTTGATTTTCTTTTTGCCAAATTTGAAGCACAGACCTCTTGGATGATATTTTAGGACAATATTTATGGTTTATTTATGTGTTTTTAATTCCAATATTAACTTCAAAGGACAGCAAGCACAACACCACAGCATCCCATATATAGTATTGAATGAAGCCTTAAAGTAATTTAAGTTTAACAAGGTAAACAAGTTTAATCCTGCTGTTTGGACTGACTCTTGTATCAGTGGGGTGTATGAGGGCTGACTCGTTGTTGGAGCCAGCCTCAAGTGGCCACTCAAGGAACTGCAGATTCAAGGAGCATTGACTTCATTTTGCAGCCTGAAGGTCCTTACACACCGGGAGCGTTTTTTTTTTGTGCGATTATTTCGGACGTCAATATTTTTTCCGAACCCGTATCCTGTCAATACAAGCGTTCACATCAGCGACGTACTTTTGCGTTCTATATTCATGTCGGCCCCGGTGTGAAAGGACCTTTACACTGATGTGATTCTATGAGATACACAAAAACTCCCTCCTGTTCCTACCGTAATCAATCTCCTGTCTAAATGTTGCTGTCCTCGAAAATACTTTCTGATGACTTTTATTTTGCAGTAAATCAATTCATCTACATTTATAAAATTACAAGTTTCTATTTTATTGTGTTTTGCACGTTAATACATCAGTAGTTCATGTGCTTCCACGGGTTAAGTCTTCTTGGTCTGAACTGGCCTTTAGGTAAAATATCTCTGCATCCTCTGCAAACCACGTTGTAAAACATGTCACATTAGTCAAAAGCCTGGATACAGGATTATCAAATGCACATTTTGTCACTGGCTAAAATGTGCACTTATTTGAAAGCAGGCATATTAAAAAGATAGAAAGATTTTAACTCAGAGCAGCATTATTTGCCCTGCAGCTCAGGTCCGCATTCAGTCAAAGCAACTGTTGGCAGCAAAGCTTCAAATCATTTCTGTTGATTGTTTTCTTTAATTAATCAGGACAATGAAATACTACACATATCGAGTCTGATGGAGAATTAATCAGATGGATTGTGGACAGCCGTGTCATTGCACAGAGGAGGGTGATTACATTCGGTGATTCCCAGTGAGGTGTTAATGACATGGTGATGGTAGTGGGGGGGCATGTGGAGGGTAATTTACTGTTAAAAGAGCCAATCTGTTGAAAGATGCTGTGTCTGTCTGTCTGTCTGTGCGCCCTGTGATGCTGCGCTGTGCGATGTAGTGCTCTGTAACATTACATAACAGCTGTCTACGTGAGCCCTTCAAAATAAAACTCATCAGATTGACAGAATAATCATGTATCTTCACTTTAATATCGCTCACATTACTGTACTTAAGGCTCATTTTAGGGGTGGGGTAGGGGATCAGTTCAGTGATAGATGTTTGTACACAACTTACCGTTGCCGCAGAAACAGCGAGTGGTTACCGTGGAGACTGACAACAACACACAGAAGTCGTCAGGGAAACAGAAAAAATATAATAAATAAAGGAACAAATAATCCTAGGAACAAAAGAAACCTAAATGCCCCCCTTCTTGTCCTCCTTCTTCGTTGCCCCCATGAAAAATCAAAACCTGATAGCAGCAGTGTCAGAATATATAAGAGAGAGAGAGGAAAGAGGGTGAAAAGGGAGAGAGGATACTAGCTCTGGATGCTAAACCAAGCGAGGAAAATCATCGCAACAATCAGAGAGTAATTGGTGCTAAAAACAGGAGTGAAGTATATGCATAAAGGGCTTTAACACCTCGAAAACTAGATCACTTAGGGGCTGAAATGCAGAAAATTCTAACACGTAAGAGTTAAAAATCAGAAGGTCAGAAACAAAATGCACACCACCCTCCTTGATAAGAGCAGGACAGTTAGTTAAACACTATCTGGGTCTGTTTCAGCCAAAAAGATGAGCAGATTTAGCAAGACATGACTCATTCTTGTGCGGTGGAGTTAGGCCTCGGGAGGAAAGAATGTGTGTTTTGAAAGGGTAATTTCCCATTATACCAGTCACCATAAATAAAGTTTAAAAAAGCATCCTGAAGGTTGGGTGATGAAGTCAAAAGTGAGCAAAGAAAGAAAAATCTAACCGAGAAAGATGGAAAAAATGGAGACTAGACAAAGAGGGTTGCAAAAACAAGAATATTAAAAATTGTAAGAACTTTTATTTTGAAAGGAAATGCATGTTGACAGGAGGACAAACTTGACTGGCAACAAGTGGGTGAAGGGACAAGAAGAGACAGGACGTGGAGCACACACACGCACACAGAAGAAAGAAGGTTGAAAGGGGAAAGATGTAACCTCTCCTTTCAACCGTTTCTACATCTTCACACCCGCACAAAACACACAGATACACACATTTCATCCATTTCCCTTTCTGCAGGGTGTGTCATGCAGCAACAAAAAGAAGTAGTAAGCCTTTCCCCTCAGGTTTCCCCGTTCATTGACTCACAATTCCAACACCGGCCATGGAAATAATGCAGAACAAAATCAGGTTTATGAGATGATTTAGAGGCCAAAGTGAGCTGAAGGCCGACTGCATGTGACACTGAGGAGTGTGTGGTGACCGAGCATGCAGAACCACAAACACAGCTTCTTCTACTCCCTCTAACTGCACACATCCATGCGGTGATTTCAACACTCTACCCAACGACACCAGAGCAGGACAAACACACACACACACACACACTCGAGCCACTCTCTTGTTGGTTAAATGTCTGACTAAAACTCTGCACAGTGAAGGAGCTGTCACTTAGACGGCAGTCCAGTAACACGATCAGATCAGCACACAACCTTAGAGTAGGAGTTAGTGATGGCAGTGCTTTGGGTTTAGCACAGTCGCTAGATTTGTTTCTTAATGTTCTGTCTTGGTTGTGACAGACTGTCAAAACACTGAATGACAGAAAGTCCGCTGTCATATCGAGTCTGAGCCTGGAGATACAGAAACGACAGCAGTGATACCAGGGTTCATATCATACAACCATTTACTCCCAGGTCTTGTGGTGGAATTAGATTATTAGGCATGACTTGTTAAAAGCTGCTTTTATTTGCTAAATCAAAATGCCTAAATATACTCTGATACGATAGGTGGTGGTATAAAATCCACCATGACACACAGAGAAGAAGTAGTTCTGCTGCAGCCAGCTGAAAACAGAGAGTAAAGATGCCGTCACCAGTGTGGATGTTTGTCAGTGTTTCTAGAGAGGAAAATATGACCGTGAATGGAAAAACAAGCACTGAACATTTTCAGAGACAAGAGAAAAGGTCTTCAAGTTTCAGCCCGATGAATCTTTAAAGTCACTTGCAAAGCATCTGTGGGTGAAACGAGCATTTGCACCAAAAAACAAAAGTGAGTGCCACATTTTTATTGCAAATACAGAGAAAATGCCAACGCTAAAGCATTCACAATGGATAAGTGTATCAGTGACTTTTTTTTAAATATAAAAGACCCAAAGTTTCCCCTGCTAATGGCTGAATGAGCTCTTCACCACGCAGAGTTTTATCCCAGACAAAGACAAGTAGAGTACAACTTAAAGCACAACAAAACTCTTTCTTTGACATTTGCTGCGAACATGCAAACCTTTTGTTGCTAAAGCTGCGAGGATAAACAACTCTCAAGAACATGCAAGTAAAAGAAATGTCAGAAAACAGGTGAAATATAGCAGCGAACCTCCATGTATCATTTCATTAGAACTGAAACAACAAACAGCCTTATGGTCAATGAGCGGATCACATATAAGAGACATCCAGCCTCATCTGTTTCCATGCTATATGAAAGAGTGAGTCTAGGAGTGAGTCCCATCACCAAACAGTATCAAACAATGTGCCGCAAGAGATATTACCCATGCAAGAAAGAAAACATATTCTGCACAGCTGCCCAAGTTTAGTGACAAAGTACGATAAAAAGAAACAATAAGCACAATTAAGCTACTAGGGATGTAAAAATACCAGAGCTCAGGACAAGATTTACAACACTGGCTTCAAGATGAAATTTTAAAAATATCTCATTTTGCCTTTTTAACTGCTTTACACATGTTACTTTATTTCTTGTTTTGATTTAAATACAAAAGTACACCAGATTATCTCATAATAAAAGAAATAAAAACAGTAAAAAGAAAGCCAAACAGTTCATATTCATTGACCAAACATCAGTTTTTTTTCTAACTGAGGAGTGGACATACTACTCAGAGAGATAGAGGAATCATCCACCAGTTTACTGATAACACATGGTGATGGACAAATTTAAGAAAAGTATTGAAATGGCAATCTGTCTGTGATTTCCGTTAAGAACGGATACTGACTTTTCAGCATTTCCTGTCAGTGGTTACCTTTAAAGACTTCCAGCCATGATTGCAGCACAAACACAGGAACTTCTGGTTTGATACATCCCTCAGAGAAGCTTTCTTATCTGTGTTTTACGTAGAGGCTTCACTCTGGCTTACTTCAGTGGAATTAACCCAAATGATGCCTTTTGTCTGCCACATGAGCTTTATATTTATGTAAAATCTGGAAATAGTGATTGATGTTTGGGGAAACTGACTGAGCATCCTCAACTACAGAGTCTTCGCCTGCTTTCACCATTTCTGTAAGACTTAAAAGACTTCTACTAAAAAAGAAGAATCAATATTCATTTTTATCTCACTGATTTGAACTGACCTTTATATTTACCCATTTCCAGCTGCCTCAGGAGGTACTGTTACATCCCTAGAGCTTCATCAGCTCAACTCATGCCAGTGGAAAACACCACATTAGCTCAGTTTATGAGTAACCCCGGTTTACAGTCGGCCCATATTTCAGAGTGTGTAAATTATTCATGTGTATTAGTGCCATTTTCTGCTGTCTAACTCTCTGCAGACATTGATGTACAAACTCTGAGAGGATACGACCAAATAAAGCAACAGCTGAAGGAAAGGGAGCATCGCCTCAAATAGAAATGTCCATCCCTTCCTCCTAGGCTGAGTGAGTCTATAAACACACATCCACCATTTGTCCTGCCCTAGAAGCCCATGCACCATAAACAGACAGAGAGATACACACTCCACACACTCCTGCTGTCGGCCCACCATGCAGCTGAAACAGAACCAGCTACAGCTCGACAGCACTGTCAGTAGAACATGCAAAGTGACAACTGAAAACAAAGATCGACTTCTCGCTGGTTGATTAAGATCATGCACGAAAAACAGAGAATCAGGTTAAAGCAACACAAGTTGTTGACTGAACGCAAAAGGCAGGACTGATGCAGAGTAAATCGGCTCCATCAGTGTTTGTTCAGCTTGCTGATTGGCTGATTGAAAGTGGAGGGGAGTGAAGGGGGGAGTATGTTGTCCTAGTGGATGCAGGTAGTTGTCTTTCATTTCCCACATTGTAGCAGAACTGAGAGTATTAAACTAAAAAAAAAAAGGGTCTAGCCAGCCTCATCCGTCATGCAGGGACTGACTCACACACTCAAACACTCACACACTAAATCCCCGCAGTAAGCCCATGCAGAAACCCTGGCTTACAGCAGCTGGAGATCCAACATGGACAACCGCTTTATGAACACCCCAGTAAAGAAAAACAAGGCAAACTGCTTCCAAATACTCAGCACATGCTTCAGTGAAAGAAACCACACACTGAATCAAATAAAAAAACAACAACCTGAACCACAAAGACTCTTAACAACTCAAGTACAAAGACTCCAGTAGTGAACATGCGTCGGTGGTGCTGTGATTCCCAGCATGCTGCTGTTTTTGCACCAGGAGCCATAAGCTTGTCACAACCACTTAGCCACAGCATCAGGAGAGGGGAGCGCAGCAGGACTTCTACACTAGAGAGGAAAATGAGAGCATCTGACGGCAATCTGCCATGCATCATCCTTTCGCTGCGTTCCTCTCCCGCCCTCCTGTGCACAAACAGACAACCAAGTGTTGCGGAGGAAGTTGTAACATTGGTGTGGCTACAAGTTGCACATCAGTGGAGAAAAAAGGTTGAGATGTAACAGCCTGAAAGGGATGGTTTAGAGAGTTTGAAGTGTTGTATGGGGTCTCCATTCAGGGATATTGGATGACAGTCAGAACGGCCCTTTTTTCAACGCTGACACTGAGCTATATCTCAGAACCTGTTAGCTATTAGCATCTCTGCACTGGCTACCATCTGTGTACAGGATTGACTTGTACAGTTAAAGCCCTTCATGGACATGCCTCTACCAATGTCACCTGCTCCTCTCTATGAGCACTGCAGCTGCTGTTGGTCCACAGACAGAAACTCTGTGTAAGTTCCAACAGCACACCTTATCACAACAAGTTAGTGACAGGACATTTTCTGTTAGAGCCCCACAGCTGGTGGGTTCCCTACTCCAGGAAGTAGAGCTATCTTTGCAGAGGAGGAAGTACAATCTAGGGCTGGGGGATATGGCCTCAAATCAATATCACGATATATCAAGCAGTTCATGGATGATAACTACTCCACAAGCTGCATTAACTTCGTCTACTTCAGCCGCCGCTCCAGTCGCTCCAACTTTTGAACCGTCCTCCATCTCCTCACCTGTCTTTCTCTCTTTGTTACGGACTGAATGGGGTGGGGTCAAATCTCCGCCATAGGACAGTGTCTTAAAGAGACATGAGACCATAGCCTACCTACACGCATCTAAAACCAACTTTTATTTGTTTATTTTTTGGAAGACCTACTCCAGGACATTTCTCAGACACACCTAATGCCGGAGCATGAACATGTAGAGCTTAGAATAAACCCAGACAGCATCAAACTTTGAGATCTATGAAATCCTATCCTAAAAAGCACCCTAAACAAACTGTTTTTTTTAGGCAAAGAGCACTCCTTCCTTTAAATTTTTAGAAAAATTGGGAATTTTTTTTGAAGACGGGTGTGTTATGAGTGCTGAGAGCATGTTCCTTGCTTTCATTTTGGAGCTCTAGCTGACTTATTGAAAAAAGGGGACCGTGTTGACTGCTGCCAAATGATCAAACCTCACTGTTAAATATCCTCTACAACTCGACTTAAAATCATCCAAACCATCCCTTTAATGTAGAAAAAAAATGCTGCAGAAAAATACCCAGCATGCCTTATGTAGTGTTCTTGCACCCCCGATCATTCCCACTTTAAAAAAGAAAGCACAAAAAAAAAAAGGGGGTATATAATTTTTCAACCATGAAAACACACAGCAGAGGACCAGGGAGAGGGAAACCAGCGGGCTGCATCAGAGCGTAACACTAAAGGGAGGATGGGAGGCAGCTAGCAGTTAGTGATCAAGCAGAATTACAATGGTAGTACAGAGAGGAGACAGAAGAAAAGAAACGAGGAGGAGAAAGAGAGAGAAGGAGGGAGAAAAATTACCTCAATCTTACGACCTTCTACCAGAGTGCCGTGGAGCTTTTCCCTGGCTTTCTCTGCGTCTGCGCTGTTCTCAAATGTCACAAAGCCAAAACCCTGCGGTACACGGCCGAGGTTAGAAGGGTTTGAAGCAGTTGAGGGCCACGTCATGAGGGATTGTGGGAGAGGAAAAAGAGAGAGGATAATCTGTGATTCCTCTGACATTGTTTAATGGATAATTAGAGTTTTGTAAAGATGATTTCCCAAGTGGCTGAGTGTCATTTTTACAGAGAATTACCATGCAGGGTGGAAATTAATGTAAACAATGAGTGTTTTCAGAGCATCGAAAGTCTGCGAGCACTTACCTTTGAGCCCCTCTCATTAAAAATGATCTCCACGTCCAGAATCTTCCCAAATTGCTAAAATTAAAAAAAAGAAGAAATAAGCATAAAGGTCACAAAAATTATGACATTACGCATTTTATGACATATGATGATCAAAATGCTTCCTTTAAATTTAAACCACATTTTCTTTTTAAATAGACACAGGGCCTGTTTACCACTGAGTTCTTCTTTAAATTATTGGAGGACTCAATGGTATTTCTGTATCATATTCACATAAGATTTCCTCTTCTTATGATACAGTTTTAACCTGCATTTGAGGTTGTGGCAGAAAACTCACACCGAGAAAATAGTTTATGTAGTTTGTGAGCTCACGCAGTGATATTCATCACAGAGTCGTGCCTGTTTTTGATGCAGTGCTGCCCCAGGGTCCACATCAGTTATCAGCCTTCTACTTTTATGTACTAAGTTTTCCGACTCTTTTAACAATGCCATAAACCAAACTCTTTTCACGCTGCAGGACATTATCCAAAACGATTTTCCTCACGCAGTCTCTCACAGTGGAGTGAATCTCTTCTCATCTTAATATCAGGAACTCGGCCTCTTTTGAAGACCCTTTTTATACCCAGTCGTCTTATTAGCCTGCTCCATGTTAGTCTGTGTGTTTTTTAAGAACTGCACAGCTCTGCAGTGTTAGACTGTCCCTGTTCCAACTTTGATGAAACATGCCGCTGGCCCCAAATTTAAAGGAGACTTAATTTTTCATAGAGCAGTACAGTGTTGGAGTTAAAACATTTGATGTGTCTTCTTTGTACTTTCAATCGAATGAAGAGTTCTGTACAAATAAACTTCTTCTGTTTTTCTCCTCCTTCTCCTTTATACGCTTGTATAAACTTTTGTATGTCTTCTGGGTGTGGTTCACATAGAAGCTGTTTTAAAGTGTCTACCACACCCACAGTTTATGTTTTTCTTTTTATGCTCCACATCTCTGTTCCTAAATGAAACAGCATTATTAAACTAAGCTACCACTGCTTGACACTAGGTGTCACTATTGTACAAAAGACAGACTCCCTCTTAAAGTTGTTTCTCTCTCCTCTGTCGCCCTGAACCCTGCTCTGTGCCTCTTTCTTCCACTCTCATGCAAACACAATAACACACAAAGCAGCCAATTAACCCCAGAGAAAACATGAGCGTCTGTCCTTTGTACTGGTCTGACTTTTTTGTGTGTCCCTGTGTCCCCACCCCGAGGACCCCAGGTTGTCCAGACTGATTTATTGATCCCATTAAAGAAGAGGCCCTCTACATTCTCGACATCTTACCCCGAACATCTGCCTGAGGTCAGGGTCCCGGAAGCGAAAGGGGATGTTTGAGACGTGAAGGCGTTTCGGGGTGCCTTTGGCCTCTGAAGAGTCTCCCACAGAGCCTCCTGAACCTGCGGCTCCTGAACTGCACTGTACACCCGCCTCACCCTGGGGGGCTTCCTCTGTCTTTCCCTGTGGAGAGGGGAGAAAAGAGACGAGTGAGAAAGAAACAGAGGTGGAGGTGAAGGAAAAAATTATCCGTGATGATTATTTTGGCGGGTTGAAAGTCTGCGACACCTTTAACAGTAACCCCGATGCAAACGACGCAGTGTAAGTACAGCAAGATCTTCATGTGGGGTCTTAGTTTTATCTTCTCGGCCTTACAAATGTTCTACATCTTTATGTCCCTGACTAAGTTCAACTCACTTTATAACTCCAGCTGTTTTAAGTACTTGGTTCTGATTGGTTAAAACTCCAACCCAATGATGGACAGCAGCTGTACACAGGTGCTAATCAGAATATTAACATTTAGTCAATTTGATATTATTTTACTTAGCTTCCTAAAAACACAATCAAGTTGTGTTGTATTTCAAATGATTAAGATATTCTTGACATTTAAGTTTCCATTATTTCATGAGTTTTTGTGAACTACCTTGCCTCAAGTATTCAATAAATCCTGCCTTCTCCCAGTTTTTAATGTTTTTCAACCCCGCTGTGTAATGACGGGTTCCTGTTATTGGCCACTATTCAAGCAAAGTCTTCGCCCAGGTAGAAAATAATGGTATCAGAACATCTTTAATAACAACTATCATTCAGAATCCTTATTTGGGCCACATATCTGACAGACAACCAGAGGACTAAAAAGACACGTCGCTTACATTGTTGTTGGTGGGGGGAGTGGTGCTCGCTCCATTAGCAGCTGCCCCTATGTCTGCAGTCCCCTGGCCCCCAGCTGCAAACATGGCCCCAGGGCCAAACTCCGTCCCCGGCAGCCCGTTCTGAGGAGGGGGAGGAGGGGGGAACGCTGAAAAGGGTGGGGCCACCAATCCCTCCTGTGCTCCTGTCGAATCCTGAGAGCCCTGCAGCAGCGGGTGGAGGGGGGAGAGGGGGAAGGAGGAGGAGGAGGAGAAGAAGAAGAGAAGAGAAGAAGCCCGCTTATTAGACGCACTCTAAGCTTTTCTGTGTGGTCGTAGCGTCCTGATGGAGGTAGAATGAAGAGGTTAAAATCCTGCTTATTACATTTCACTCTCCCTCTCTCTCCCTTTTACCACTTAGTAACTCCCCCCTCCTCCCCTGTTATCCGCCCCCCTCTCTCTCTCTGCCTCCATATCTCTGACAGGCATGTGTTTTCAGTCAGCCGACCATGAAATATTTACTGCAAACACATCTATTATTAAGAGTCAGAAAATTCGATACACAGTTTGAAACACAAAGATGCTTATGGAGAGGATGGACACACAAAGAGATAAACACAGACTGCACCATGTTAAGTGTGACATGTTTACAGCCACCGCCTGAACTGTGTGTTCCTGTATTTTTATTATTTCTTTCAGCAGTCATCTATAATTCACGTTAACCGTCTCCCAGCTGGGACTTTGTTGCCTTCGATTCGTTATTCCCTGCACTGTTACAGCTCTATCAGCAGCACCATCATCGAGAGATTCTTTATAGCTGTATTGCTGCTGTTCCAACTCACACACCTTATCTTGTTTGTGCGTGTGTGTGTGTGTGTGTGTGTGTGTGTGTGTGTGGTGACTCTGCGGTATTGCTTGCTTCAGTCATTTCCACACTCAAGGACATCTTGCAGTAAGTTTAACAAAGTCCTTTAGAAGTAAAGACAAAGAGTAAAGGGAAAGGGAACGCAGTGTCTTATTTTGCACAGGAACTCGAGAGGATTTCAGGACATACATGTCTAAAGATTTTCAAGATTTTACCCCTTTGATTTCACGTTTGACATCCCCTCACAACTTTGAATACTCTTTTTAGTTAAGGTGACAGGGAGCAGCAGAGGCCTGTTCTCATAGGTGACTGATTCTGGCTTTATAGAAGAACAAAAGCAAGGGACTGGGTGATGGTACTGGATATTTTCTGATACCTTCTTGAAGTATATAGAGTACTGATTTGAAGTGTTTTAGTGACATTTAGTTGTTCACTGACAAACAGACTGTGAAGCACACAGTGGGCAAAGTACAATCCTTCATAATACAGGGCTCAAAACTGTGACTGTTTGCTCTGGATTTGAAAATTCTGAGAGTGCAACTGGACCAAAAAACAGATTTGAAAGCGTTTATAGGTGTCACTTATTTTTTTAACCAAGGTCATAATGAAAAAATTGCCAGGCATTTTTTTATCAACCACCATTCCATTAAATCAAATGCTATGAAAATCAATTAAACCCCAGCTGGTCATTTTTGACTTTCAGTACTGATTTTAGATTGGTTAGCATCAGCCTCCAATCACCCCCTTTCACTCTGCTTTGTCATGTGACAGAGAGCTAGCTAACACTCCATAGGGTTGACAGTTTTGAACTAAAATTGGACTGTAATGAGGTGTAATAGATAACAAGTCTGAGTATATGGGCCCATCAGGCCATCTGAAGAAGCATAAGGTTTAATCCAGCAGTAGGTGCCCTGGCGTAACCTGACCATTATATGGCACCCTTGACCTTTATAGATTGCCAACGGGCTATTGGTTAAATAAAAATGTAGTGATGGTTAAAAGTTGTTGGAATTCTCTCCTGTTATCCTGTGTTATAGGGCATTTTTGTTGGGAAGGGGGGCAGATTCACATACATTCTCACATCATTGCATACTGGTCTGCTGAATGGATAAACACCAGCAGCAAAGAGGGTTCACAGTTCAAATGGCTCTGCTATGATGGAGGCAGCAGATTACACAGAGTTCAATAGTAATTGCAGTGCTCTTTAATTTTCAGTGGGTGCTCCTGACTTTTTTTTTTTAAGTTAGAGCAAAAGTAAAAAATGCCTTTAAGCCTTGATAACCTGATCCTACTGGCGATACAATAACAATCTGGGCTTAAAACTCCTGCGAGGGTCTCTTAGGCATTCATGAAACAGACTCTGATTGATATTAACACCTCTTTATGACCTGAAGAACAAACAAGCCAAGTAACTGCTGCTGCAGGGCTGGTGTCAGCTGCAGAAACAGCCTTTGTTGACACTTTCAGCGGCAAAGATTCCCGGTGAGTGATGGGATTAACTGTCTAAGAAAAGCAGGAGGAGATTTTTCAGGAGGAAGGACTGCAGCAGATTTTTCTCACCCTGAAATGAGAGCATATCAAATCTAACAAAGTCACTGGAAAATGTTTATCATGAATTCTGTTCTGATGTACAGAATAAGGCAGTTACATATTGTTTATAACATTAAGTCTTGTTCTGAAATCTATAGGTTAACCTATATGTTTTGCTATTTCATGAATTTATCAAAATGCTTCAAAAACATGTTAATGAGAAAGACAGTCAAGGATATTATGTTGTAATGAATATTGAGTTTTTAACAAAATTTTAACCGTGCATTGTTTCTATTTTAACTAATACAGGTGGCTGAACAGATAAAGAAGTTCCTGAGCCAACAAAAGCGAGATTCAAGAAGAACAACTGTTTTGAGTTTTATTTAAAATGTTGTTTCTTATTGTAAATATTGTTTATTTTGTTGTTTCTTATTGTATATATTTAGTTCTTCTATTTTATCAAATACAAATAACAAAACCTGTAATCAGCAGCCTGACTTTCGAATTATCAGCACTGGCTGTTGAAAACATGCAGTATATTGGATCCCATATCAGCTGGCCCTGACTTTGTCTTTACTCTTAGTGAAAAGGTGCCGGGGAAAAGTCTGTGTGAAGTTTAGGTGAATAGGTTTAGACACTTGTGTTCAAACATGCAACCCTTCTGTCTACAGATTCCCTGAATGCAGAGTGAGAGCGGGGTTTGAATGTAAAGCGAAGTGAAAGGGGGGAGACAGGAGGCCGACAGGGTGTGAGAAAGCAAAGTGTTTTTGGGGTCAAGCTGCTCCTTCCACATCAGGCCAGGCAGCACGACCCATGGGCTGGATCTGGGCTGGGTGACGCCTGGAGACACTCTGTCTCCAGACAGCTCTTTTAATTAGACAGAGGAACTAAGCATCCAGCTCTCCGTATCCCTCTGTCTCTAATCCTACAGCCACGCTGCTCCTTCTTCTTCTGCTGTGTCGACCGCGTTGCCCGTAAACGGCCAGCTGAGGCTTTTAAAAAAAAGGGCCCATCTGTAAGACAGACAGCTTCTGGGGTCTGCGCCCAACAGATAGAGGAGGCATCAGAGAGGTTTTCCAAAAAAACAGGATGGAAAAATCTGGGGAAGTCGTCTGCTGCCACTCGCTTTGTGATGCAAGTTAGGAAAGAATCTGTAATCGCTGATTGTGTTTTGCATCCTCTCTGGTTTGGTTTCTGTCCCTGAGTGATAAAAAGGAACCATCAGACACCATTAAAATTCATTGGTTAGACCTAAGCCTACTCGGGCTGGAATATATCAAAGCCTGAGCGTACTTGTTAGGGCATGTGAGCTCATAAACATGCAGCAGCCTGTATTCAGCCTCTAAAGGGTGTGTCCTGTAGGCATATTCCTGCCCAGGGCTTAGTCACACTCACCAAAGAAGGGAAGGAAGAAGAAGAGAGGGAGTCAAGGGTTTAGAGAAAGAGGGACAATGAAATGAGAGGGAGACGTATTAACTGGAGTGCTGTGTGTCACTGAATGAGAGGGTCGAGTAGAGCTTCTTGATGTTTCATTAACTGAGATCAACATGAGGCTGCTTTAGGGCAGCAGAAAAGCAGCTCAGTGTTTATTCAGTGTACCCTCTCTCATGGTCACAACAGGCTGAGGGAAGACTGAATTAACATGACTTGATGTCAAAACACTCTGCCTCTGTAGTGCAGTGATGTAGTCGATCTACATTAACCTCTTTGGAAACACTGCCTTTCAGTTATTCTACTCTTCGAAATGTGTTCCTGTTGTTTTTACTCATTGTGTACATTCATGTGTTTAGATTTTATGGCTTGTATTTTGGTTTGAACGGTCTCATTTGTATGATTGTTTTAAAAACGACAATATAAATTAGGGAATAGGAGCAAGTAGGGCTGGGTGATACTATATATTGAGCAGTTCACCGCAATAATGATAAATGGACGATAACTACTCCACAAGCTGCACCCACATTAACTTTGTCTACTTCAACCGCTGCTCCAGCCGCTACAACTTTAGAACCATCCTCCATCTCCTCACCTGTCTTTCCCTCTTTGTTGTGGTGGAGTCACCTCTCTGACGTAGGACAGTGTCTTAAAGGGACATGACGTCAAAAATGACATTGGTTTTTGTCGTAAATTTAGGTATCTGTAAATTATCGGTTTATCGCCGAGCCCTAGCAACAAGAATGGTAGTAGCAGCAAAAGTAGGACTGTTCATTTTTATCTTAAATCAGTCTTCATTTAAATCTGGGGGCAAAAGTTCATTTTTGAACTCTAGTAAGTTACTAAAATTCAAAGTTGGCAGTGTGTCAGTGCATCAGGTCTTATGAGGTAGGGTAAGGATCAGCAGGGTCAGCACAGCAGCTTTGTACTGATGGATGAGTACAACTATAAAATGTAAACAATTTAGAGGTAGCAGGAGTTCAAGTGTAGGGAGGCTGAAACATTGCAAAATCAAACACCTTATACAACCATGGTAACAACTTCTCAATTCTTCTGAGCTGAATTAATTCGAAAGTAATGACTAAAATATCACAACTTTATATTGACTAAAAGAAATGACTCAACTATAAAAGGCAAAAGTGGTAAGAACATGACTGAAACTAACAGGTATTTTTGTCTTGAGACTTAAACTTAATCTAAATAGCTGCTAAATTGACACATCTCATCTCAGTCTCAGCCAATATCATGTTTTATCTCATCTCATCTCATAAGATGAATTATCATCACACCCCTATAGTCTGACAAAAAGTTTGGAGTTGATCAAATCCTGGCTCTCACCAGAGAGGTTTTACTGCTAGAATTACAACACTTTTACAACGAAGCGTTGGAGACCATGAGTGAAACTCTCATCTGATGTGATTTAGTGAAATGAGTACAAACAACAATAAATGGGCTTATTCAACAAACAAAAAAAAAATGAACGCAGTGAGTAGATTAAGATCAGAGGAGGGAATAGTTCACACTGAAGTCCGCTGGGACATTCCTGACCCGCTGACTGAGAAGCAGCACTGCCCTACATGGCAGCATCATATAGTCCGAGGCAGAGAGGAGAGACGAAATAATGGAAAAGGAAAAAGAGGGAGCTTAAAAGGTGGGGGAAGGGGCTCATGGGAAATAATGACAGGCTTTATTTGAGTTATGTCTGGTCTTAAAACCAAACTTTCCACTCTGATTTTTAAATTCTGAGATAAGACGAAGCCAAACAAGCAGGGGAGCAGAAGCCAAAAAAGGAGTAGACTGAGTATCAAGTGAAATGTTTTAATAAAAATCTGATATAACAGGTAGAAAAAAAAAGACCATCTGGAGTTGGAACTATTCATCCAAGCTTTTTTTCTCGACACACACAGCAGCAGCGTTACCTGAGACGCCATATGTTTTTCCACACACAGAAAGGAGGGGGGAAGAAGAAGAAGGAGGAGGAGGAGGGGAGGCCTTTTTTTTTAGAGAACACTTCCAGTACACTGTGTCTGTCTTCTGATTTCAGCCTGTTACCACCCAAGAAGCAAAGCGCACAGCACCCGCAGAGACAAAATGACGATCCAAGTGACGAGGATGCAACTGAAACCCATCAATCATCCATTTTTGGTAAATTGGCGCTTTAAAGTCACCTAATTCACGACAGAAAAACTCTTTAAAGCAGCAATCTGTCTATTTTCCCCCTCAGGTTCAAGAAGGACGCCCTCTTGGCTCCGCCCACTTCCCCCCTTCCCTCCTGGTCCTCGCCTGTCATGCCTGATAAAAGCCAGGAGATATTTTCCCCCCTTTAAAACCCGCCACCACCCACCCCTGAAGTCACTCAAATCTGTTACTGCTCTGTTTTGTCCATCACAGCAGAAACCACACCCCTTCCTCCTTATATGGTAACCTCCTTCTCAAACTCCTGTTGCTTCTTCCTGACTGTCATCCAATCAGATTTCAAAGAGCTTGTCCATATGGAATATCAAAAACTCAGGGGCTTGGACACACAGGATACAAGGATTTAAGATACTTTACAATAAAACAATGTAGCCCTAAGTTTGACTCACATTTTGTCACTGAAAAATATGCACTGAAGTCAGTTTAGCCGTATAGGAAAAAAAACGGCACTACAGGCTGCAAACTTTCTGAAATGAGCCTTAAAATAATCCTTAAAAAAAACAAAGGGTCTTTATTTGAAGCCCAACCCATTCAAAAACGAGAACATCCAAGGATCAAATTGGGTGAAATCTCTGAATAAAGCACTGTGTTTTGTTCCGGAATCATGAGACAAATTTGCATCATAGAAGAAAGTGACCTGAAAAAGTTTGAGTGGTGTTTAAAATGTCGGCAAAAGAACAATGTGTGGGTTTGTAGATCATTTAAACTTTGTGTTCATTAAAGAAGAGCAAATACTATTCAAATATTAGCCTTTTGTATCATATTTGATACATACTTTTATATACTTCTATTAAATCAATATGATCAACAAATTACTAAAAAAAACACCTGAATACAGTCTACTTGTAGTTTATCAGTTTCCAGAAACATCTAATGTATTAAACAAGATAAATAAATATATTTGTTCAATTTTAAGGACATTTTCATTTTTTTGGGGGGTTTTCAGTAGTAAGTGAAATAAACATTTCAGCTCCAAAAATAATTTTTTTGGCCATAATTTGTGGTGTCAGTCATTAAAGGGTTAAAACTGAAAAAATTAAAGTTTGATGTATGATATATGCTCCTTTTTACATTGATGCCAGCATTGTGTGCAAAAGAAGTTGTTAAATGGATGGAAAGAACAGACTAAAAAAATCATGCCATGCTAAAAATGGGCAAAGCTCAGAGAAACATTTGCAACATTCAATTAACATAACTGGGTTTGAAAAGGGCTTCCTGGGTGTCTTAGCAGTAAAAACGGGAGGAGGATCACCACCCTGTGAGAGACTGCGTGACCAAAAGAATTTTAGGACCTACCAGCTCTGAGAACCATTTCTGTCATCTTGTGAATGATGATCAAAGCAACATCTGGCAGCCTTCAACCAATGACCACTCAGCACCCACAAAAGTTGTGTCTGTAAAAAAACAAAATGTCCTACCAAAAGATGAAGACAGAGGAAAAGTTTGCAAAGCTCCGGCAACAACACCCCTGTCTTTAGGATGTGTTATCGAGTTGTGAAAAAAGAGGAATGTTGGACACACTTAAGAAAATAACTGCCATTTTTATTCTGGTCTCAGAATGATTGGAGGAATACCAGAGTGTACAGTCCACAAGGTTTGTCAGTCAGTCAAGTTAGAGTAAGAATTTATGGCGTCTGAAATGATGCAGTGAAAAAAAATTGATTCGAACTTTGTTATTCTAAAATAAAATGCAAAACACTGCTATCTCCATCCTCCCCAATGTGAGGATTTGACGTCTGAGAAGAAACTAAAAAAAAAGGGCAAGCATGGATTTAAACAGACTTGGTATCTTTGGTGTTTGGTCTGTCCATGAGATATTTTTTAAGACATACGCTAAGAAAGTATAACAAAGATTTTACAGATTTTCTGTGCATTAAGAAGATTATCAGTAGCTGATGCAAAAAAAAAAAAAACTGCGCTGGAGTCACAGAGAGCAAAAAGAAAAGAAAAATCATGAGCGGTTTATCTGAATTAATAATAAACTTCAATAAACATTCAAAGGATATATAACTGAGGGGCTGACAGAGATGTAGTTTGACTTTACTTTTTGAAAGTAAGGCTTGATCAGTTTATTACTTTCTTATCTTGAAGTGTGCAGAATCCTAACAGGACTGAAGAAACCATCTGCTTGAATGGAGAAAAGGCTAACTGAGTCCAAATGCAGTAAAAGTTCTATGTTTTGGATCTGGTACATCGCGTTTACTCCATCTGAGGCTTTTCTTTCCTCTCTGTATCTCATATCCAATCGCCGACTAACATTTATACCACACAGGACTTTCCCTGCCCTTTATTCCAGCCTGATTTACAGTGCATGAAACAGGAGAATGAGCTCTTCTCCCCATACAACCCAGGGGCCAATAAACCAATACTAAAGACGACACAGACCAATGGAAATATGCAAATCGAGCCGGGGCAAGATTTGAGTGCTTTAACATGCTTGCTGCTCTGCTGATTCCAGCCATATTATTACATCCACACGAGGAGGTATTCTGCGAAACCCTGCATTGCCCATTCTAAGTGGAGGCAGCAAGAAGGGAAAGTTTTTTCACTGCAGTCAGGAAGTGAAAATTTGAAAACCCAGCGGCTCTGACTTGCCCCCGCAGAGTGAGCTGGGGTAAAGTGTGTGAAGAGGAGCTACATTAAAGGTCTGTTTGTTATGCAGGAGTGCAAAACCGAGGAGGTGTTGCAGACTTTTAAGGCACTGCAGCATCACCTCTACTATTTACTGCTGGTAAAATCCGGATCTGTGTTTGTAGTGCGTGTGTGTTCTGCTGAGAGAGAACATGTGTAGCGTTTTCACACCTCGACTCTCTGCGTACGGCCTTAGGCAGCAGCAGTTAGAGCGCCTGACAATATCATCACGGCTGTATGTATGCAGGGAGAGCAGTTAACCCCGAGGTGGAGCGGCATCACAGTCTGTTAGGCCACCAATACTTAAGCGTTTTCCTTTAGTGCCTCATTAATGGGTCAAGTCAGATCTTTTTTACACTGCAACCTTTCCCTGTCATTATTACTGACAAAAGTTTCTAAGAGCGTTTTGAAATACAAAATGTTCCTGGGAGTGATGTAAGAAAGCCTCTGATGTAACCAAGCAGTGTGGCGAGTGTGGGTTTAACCAACAAGTAATTCTGGTGCAGACAAGTAAGGAAGGTGACATTGATACCGTGTGCATATCCTCAGTTAAAGGGATATTCCGGCGTAAAATCAAAGTGTTTGACCCTACATTAATTTAACGCCAGAATATCCCTTTAAAGCAAGTGCAACATCTGCAGTATCTCTGGTATTTGATCAGTTATCATAATAATACTGGATATATCATAAATAAATTACAAGATACATTTGATGTCTAAACCTTTTAGTAAATTTACAGAAAGGTAAAACATTAATTTCAAAATTGAAGGTATGACATTGGGCTATAGTCTTCATAGTGAGTGGTCTTGGTTCGACTCCAACCAATGGTTTTTTGCTGCATGTCATTGCAAACTCTCTCCTCCTAGTTTCCTAGTCTATCTGCTGCTCTTTCCTCTCAAAAAAGGTATAAATCTCAAGACAAACTTTAAAAAACTGACATAAAAGATGTAATTGTTTGACTTCTTGCTCATTTTTAATGAGGTGGTTAATTAGACCAGCTTCAGTGCTTTGACTTTGACGTGGAGAAAAATCTATATTCTGATGTGATGCTTTCTACTTACTTAGAAATATGCACTATCCTACAGATCGACCACAATGACTAAGGTTGAATATGCTGTTAAATAAACACTTAAGCTGTTTGGGATGTACTGTCATGCCCCGGCACAGGTAGCTGTCACTTTGTTAGGAGTGCAGCTGCAGGATTGGGTCCCTCTCTCCTCATGTGCAGCTACACTCCCACAAACACAGACCCTGAGGGGAACAGACTTGGGTGTGGATCCTTTGCAAATTCCGAGGAGTCCTGCCGCAGTCTGAGGGGATAATGTTAGAGGGGAACAGTAAAGCAGCCTAAATACTCAGATGCCACTCACTGCCTTCAAGTCACTCAGTGAAAAAGCAGCTCGGTTTGACACCCGGCTCAGTGCTGAGCAGGTGGGTTAGAGGGATGACGCAACACCTTTGCAGGACTGCAGATACACATGTGGAGATGCAGGGGGAATGTGAACTGAGTGTGGGCAGATGTTTTCAGACAACCGGCTACTTGGTGACACATTTCTGTTGACCTGTGAAAAAGCAGAGATGAAAACAGACGAGCTTAAAGCTTGTGTGCTGCTCTGCTGCAGGGGGGCTGGCGCGGACAAGTCAACCAAAGAGACAAGGTTTCCGAATCAGTACATCACCAGAAGACAAGGGAACACTGTCCTGAGGTCACAGTCTGCCTGTAACATCTCATATTCAAATATGTTTGATATCTTAACCAACTGGGTTGTCAAGTAAGCAGCAGATTTTTCACACAGAATTATTTCAAGGATGAAAACAAACAGAAGTAAGTCCAGGTGAAATAAACAAGTCTGGACCACAAGTCTGCAGCAGAGATTTGAGCTTCTTTGAAATCATCAGAGGCACAGACTGTTCATGTTTATTCTGAATAAACATGATTCAATGATTGTATTTAATTTGATGTACAAAGAAACTGAAATACAAAGAAGTGTAGAGTAGTAGTAGTAATGTTTACACAAGGTGGGACCTGCAGTATAGAGATGTGTCAAGTGTCAACAAAACGACAGAATGGTCATGTAGTTCATATGGAAGAGCCAGGGTGTGACTGGAGATGTGTCACCTTTAAAGTGTAAAGTTCACTCCCACATGTCAATAACCCCGTGCCCACTTGGTGCCATTCTCTTTGAAGAGGATTTAAGTGTTGAAGCTAACAGCTGTTGAAGCCTGCAGGGGGCAAAGACAGCAGGAAGACAGAGAGACAACAACATGGACCTCACTGAGCGGGCGTGTTGATAGTTCCTCCTAAACTGACTGAAAAGGTATCTTACAAAGTTACATGACTCACAATTTATAAATATAAACACCCCAGTCTGCAGCTTTTATTACTGCAGTCTATGTATTTGTGAAGACAGTTCATATAAGGACGTGCTGTTGATTGTAATCTCACTGTGATGAAGAATGAGCAGCAGGTCATGTTTACGCTGCATTAATGAGCAGGTATTTTTCTTCTGACTCATCTCTTCTGGTGTGTTTACATCCTTTTACCTCTCCCATCCACTTGATCAAGTTTGTACTTCCAGGTCATCTTGTTGCGTCAGGTCTTCTTGTTTGATTTTCTGTTGCTGTGTTGCCTTCTGTAGAAACCTGTTTTTCTTTGTTTGTGGAAAATATTGTAAACTCTCATTAAAGCTCCTGTGAGGAACTTTTTATTAAGTGTTGATTCTGGAGCCCCCTGTGGACCTCTTCTTCTCTTTTTGTATTTATCCAACCCAAAGACATGTTTCCCTTTTCTTGATGTATGCTGAAACTAACAGTCATTCATACTAGAAGATGACTCAAGTGTGCCTCTTAAGACTAAGCCAGCTGTCACTTACAACGACAGCACCGGGGGGAAAGATGAAAGCTGGAGAGATACAGTGATCGTCCACATCAAAGTGACTCAAAAGTGAGCACAAGTATGAGGCTGAATTTAAGAAAATGGTTGGCCGTGACGCAAAGAAATTAAACAACTGTCACTAAACTGAAATAGGGAGTCACAGGCTCTGTTTGCATGAGAATGTTTTCCATAGTAAACAGTAAAATACTGTTTTTCTTTGGCTTTTCATTTGCATGGAATTGGTATTCAAGGCAACTGAAAACAAACTTCAGAAAAATTCAATGGCCGTGTAACTGAGCAAGATTTCAAAGACAAAGATTTCTTAAGAGTAGCAACATCAAAGCCCCATTTGCACATGCATGTAACATTACCAGTTAAATAGCCTTGTGCGAGTGGGGAGGTAACAACAACAATAGCGGACTGCTGCACTGTGATTATGCTGTTGCTGATTCCACCACGTTTGCTAACACTTCTCCGGACAAAGATAATGGCTTCTCACCATGTGTTCTTGTTGTTGCAGAATGCCTTTATACGCGAGTACACAGTGTTCTCCAGCTGTGTTTCACTTCAAAGTTATTAAAAACGTCTATTTACTGCATTTGTCCAGCATACACTGGACAACACTGTAAATACATTAGTCCATGTGTAATGTGCAATGTGTGTGTATGTGCAATGTGCGTGGGTTGTGTGACTGTGTCTTTGTTAGGTCTCGGCTTTGTGTCACTAGTTGGCAGCTTTATCTGTGCAGCTCTTGGAGTCCAAGACAAATTTCCCTCAGGAGACAAAGTGTATCGTATCGATCGTATCGGATCATATTGTACTTCCATATTGTGTTGGGGATTGACTTTCTCTTACATCTCAATCGACTTCAAAATGTCCCTAAAGTTCTGTGAATGCTCTAAAAATGCCAGATTTTTCCAGAAGCTGAAATGCTCCACAAACAGTAGAGAGCTGTCCATGAAGTCGTTCATGTTTTGACTTTAGACATACGACTAATCAGCCTCTTGCTCACTTGTTTGTCAACTGTTTTGGTACTTGAACGATTAGGTCAAACAGTCAATTTATAACTAGCTAATAGAAGGTATATCGCCACCTACTGTTGATTAATCAGTTCTAAAGTGTTGCTTGATAATAAGGACAAGGACAGTAGTCGAGTTAAATTTTCTAATCAAGCTGTAAACATAGTTTGAGTTAACTGTGCATATAAAACTACAGAGCACTACATGAATACAGCAGTTACATTCAGACCAATAATAGTTGTTGCTGTGCAGTGAATACTACCCCGTGTTTGCCAACACAAAAGCAACAACTGGTTTGCGTGTCAGTGTGTCTGTGCTGAAACAACTGTGCCCTGGCACCTGTCTCCCTCAATCTGAACAAAGATGAAGTCTAAACCGCACGGACAGCTTGGATGACAACGTTGAATCTCTTGATAAGAAAAAATAAACCTCCACCATTTGCCCACATGAAATGACAGGACACACACACACATACATAGCATGAAATATAACATGACACTGTGTGCCGTCAGCATGGCGAGAGCATGCAATACCCCACTGTGCATGCATGTCGACACAGGCAGTCCAACCAGCGGCTGCTACTCCATGTCAGCGTGTACCTCCTTCAGCCCCCTCCCCCTCTACCCCCAACCTTCAGGGCCTAGAGGCAGCAGAGACCAGAGAGCAGGACAAGCTAGAACAGAGTCAGACGAATCATTTTCAGGCTATAGTAGCACAGACACGCCCACCACATGCTAAGATTAGCCTAGCTTATAAACAAACATTGTGTGCAAACATGCAATCCAACTATTTTCAGGATTCAAGACAGTCAAAGATACTGCAGCTTGGATACAATGCGCCTTTTTGGTTTATTTAGGGTCTGCAGGATGCTGCTAGACTAAAATAGGACTGAGACAAATTTTACATGCTGACAATCATGCAAATAGAAAAAATCAACCACTTGCTAAAAAAAAAAAAACATCTCCACCTAATGGCTGAAGTGTTGTTACTACTCAGCTGAAGCCCCCCAGGATGTTGCTCGCACTTAAGAGCCACATGATCAAACTTCAGCATAACAAAAGTGACCTAATTAGCCACTAGCATGATTTCTTCCACAGCAATCAAAGATACTCAAGCTCAAACAGTTCAAGAGTGAGACGAGCAGAGCTGCAGAAACAAGCCCCGCTGTTAGCCTGGTGCCCTGCCAACTATCTGACAAGGCCTCACCTGGGCCAAGAGGCAGAGAACCAAAACAGGCTTTACCATAAACAGTGCAGCAATTACTTCTTCTGCAAGCCAGCAAAAAAAAAAACCTGCCAACAAAAATCATTATAAACTCTGCTCTTCTGCAGTTTCCAGCGTGTGCGCTGAGCTGTAGCTCTGCAGACTATGTAAACTTACCGGCAGCATTGCAGGGAAGTACAGCCCCATCATCGTCTGATCTAAAGGAACAACTGCAGACCAGCTCTCCACTTTCCTTCTCCTCTCCCCTTCTTCCCCGTGTGTCTCCACTTCTCCTCCTCCTTCTCCTCCTCCTCTCCTCTGTCTGTGCTCTAAGACCATGAGCCAAGGATGGCTTCAGTCCACGGCTGTCTCACACATTCAAATTCTCCCTCGTTCACTCCCTCTTCCTCCTCCTCCTCTTTGCCGGTGTCCCTTCTTCCACTTCTCCGGCACGCGAACCTCGTCCTCCTGTCACTCTCCTCTTCTCCACCAGCCCTGCCGCTCTGATCCCCCTCGGGCCTTTTCCGTCTCCTCTCCTCCTGACAGCCTGAGTCTCTTCTCGCCTCCCTTCTCTCTCTTCTCTTTTTTTGCTCTGCGTCTGTAATTCACACGCTCTCTTCACACGTCCCCCTCGCTTTTCCTTGTTCCCGCCCCTCTTTTTTAAAACTTTCCCTCCCTCTCGGCTTCAGTCCCTCCTTTCCATCAAAGCATCAATCCTCTCCGTGTAGCCACCTAGCTTGAAGACTAGATGGAGTGGGATGGCTGCTGTTGCTGCCTCCTCAAACCCCCCGGTGAGACAAAAGGAAGAGGAAGAAGATGCTGTCTTCTCTCCTCACGCTGGCTGCCTGAGAGAACAGAACAGGAACAAGACCCCTACTGCATTGCAGCGTTTTTTTGATGATTTATTTATTGCGTGGCGGCCTGTCAGCTCCAAAAAGCAGCAGTAGGTAGGGAGGTTGGCCAGATAGGTAGCTGGCTGCGTGGGTAGGCTCCTAGATCACCATCTCCTCTCTGCTGTAGCCGCCTTCTTCACACAGATAGAAGAAGACTCACAAAACTGAGTCAAGCGCCTTCCCTCGAATGCAGAGTCTAAAACCGGACCTGAACATGAGCAGTATCACGCTGCATTGCGCCTTCTTCTCCTTCTTCTGGCTTGGGCTCAGTTCTCCTTACTTCCCACTTGCGTATTGTTAGGAGGCGCTTTAATTTGCAGAGATGAGAGTGCAGTTCCTTCCTCGCGCCGCATTTTCATCTGGGAGGGACTGAACTCTGCGGAAAAAAAGCCCTGATGCCAAGCTTTCAGACATCTGCTGAGTCTGGCTGGAACTGGGTCCAGAGGGAAGGAGGGATGGAGGGAGGGCAGGATAAGTGATTGGGGGTGGTGGTGGTGGTGGTGGTGGGCCTGAATGAGGGGGGAAGCATAAGGACAGAGAGGGACAGAGAAACAGAGGGTGCGAGCGAGAGATAACAGGATGGAAAGATAAATGGATAAAAGGGCTGGGTGAAAAAACGAGCGAGGGATGACAGGATTAGAGCTGTAAGTGAGGAGGATGAGAGGATGAATAGGGGATGATCTGAGGATTAAGCGCACAGACTGAACACAGCGATAAACACACACGCGGTCAGTCGCACACAAACACAGAGATGTGCCGTCATTGTTTTCAGGCCTCAAACTTTGGGGATAAATCTATCAAATACTCATCAGCAAATTCAAAACTTTGTTTTCCTTCATCACAGCAAAGACAGGTGATCAATAACTTGGATTTGGCTTTTCGATATAAAAAAATCTGCTCGTTTTGAGGAGAACTGCAATTATTCATGTGAAAGGGAAGCAACAGTGCACCAGTGAGGATGACTTCAGCTACTGGTGACTGGTGTAGCCAGCTGGGAGGACTTTATGGGTTATGAATATATTTTTGTCTTTAATTTTTGCAAAAGGACAAAATGTCCAAGTTTAAAAAGAAAGAAAATAAGGAGATGTCTCATGATACCCACTTTAGGATCCACTAACTTATGAATACTTGGTTGGCTGACAAGGATATTTGACCATCATATTGACCTTTTTATCCATCTAAGATCCACATCAGCAATCAGTAAACTAGTTGGTGATTTCTCTTTTATCCAATCGTCACACACTTGTCAGAAGTAGTTTCTTCAGCAGGTAACAGAGGGGTAAAGAGAGAAACGTAACAGCCAGCATTACAACACAGGAGCTTCTGCCTCTAAAACATTTATCACTTTTTATTTTTCATCATTCTTTAAGCCGCTTCAAATCGATTTAATAACTCTCTGATCCATTAAGAGTACCTTAAAATAAAAGTATTGAGATGCTGAAGCTTTGATGCAGCCCCTGGTTTGACTCCTGTGTTGGATGTTAACGCCTTTCCTAATATTTCTTGTCTGTCATCAGCTTTTCCACCAAATATCAGGGTTTTCCACAAACAAACTGAATACTCAGACAGTGAGTAGCCAGCTGGGCAGACTATCCCCCGCTGCACTCATTAGTGTAGTACACACTGTGTTGTCTATCGAAATAAGAAAAGAACAAAGATATCAAGTCTTTAGGAAATGCTGTGTCCGTCGGGCCACCAACTACACGGACATGTTTACCTCTTGGTAGCAAAAAACAGAAAACTGCTGGGTAGCAGATGTCCTGCTCGGTAAACAGAGGCACATGGTGGCTTAAGTGACTGTACATGCACACATCAGTGCTCAGTGTCCTCCACATACATGTGTCAGCCTGTCCCGTGAATTTCAGATACGCAGACTGCAGACAGATGCTGCAGGTACCCCGAAACCTGAAGAACACTTCATCCCCACATTGGGCATAGCCAACCAAGAACAACTCACTCTTCAGCCACTGTTTAAACTCAGAGTCATCGAGCCACTTGTCCATGATTTCAGATTTCCTCACTGAGCTTTTCAGGTGTAGAGTTTCTGAGATGATGGCAGTCAACTGGTGGAGCAGTGGGCACGCTTTTAACTTTAATGTTTTTTAGATGAACTCAGCACAGATCTGTGACAGCTGGACAAACACTGACTAACTCAAACAAATGCAACACAAACACATTATTTATATATCCTTGGATTACTAATTCTTGTCAAATTATCAACTCGCAAAAAAAAATCTAATGCCTCGTAGGATGGTGTTAAAAACTTTTAATACTTTTTAAAGGCCTTTAATCCACAGAACTGATTCTTGACATACTTTTTTGAGACCCTTCAGATATTCATTTTTTTAAAAATTTTTTCTATTCTATTTTCACATATTTGTTTCTTAATATTGTGTTTGTTTTTATTCCATTACAGTTTTTATTATTAGTCAGTGTATGTATGATTACATTGCACTCCTGTAAAGCACTTCTGTCAGCTGAGGTTGTTTTTAAAAATAAACTTCACCTGGCTCTGAAAGTTTTTGTGGTGCTAAGGTACAAATGTCACAACAGTGATCTGCAACATACATAGAAGACGGACTTAAGTCTGTAGGAATAACCGCCTATTATCATTTAGACCCCTGCAGAGGGATTCTACTATCATGAAGCTCATAAAGGTCAGAGTATGGTGTGGTGAGAAAACGTTCACACGTATAACCCACTGTGGAGGTGTCACACTGCAGTCACCAGTGATTTTCAGCATTTGCAGCTAAATGCAGTTAACTGTCATTTCTGTTCTTGTCTTCAACACTTTCTGCCAAAGTAATGATTTCAAAAAGGATTACTGCTGTCTTATCACACAGACAGAGCATGCCGGGCAGAACTCCTACAGTTATAAAGCAGTAGCAAGTGTCTGCAAATTGCAGGGGATTATTGAGTTACAATTTTGTCATTTGAAATGTTTTAATGACATGGACTAAAGAAAGAGTGGCTGGGCATAGTTCAGTGAGTATTCAGCTGTTAGGCAAAAAGCTGGCACTTGTGGAAACCTCTCTGATAAAAATCCTTAAACTATAAATGATCAGAAAACAAACAAAGCGCCTTTTCCAAACAGGAAATACATCAACCTAGGTGTACACTCGGAGTCTTCAGTGTATCGTCATAACATCCCCTCACATCTTGGGGCTTTAACCTATACTGACATTAAATACAATACTGCTTAATGAGAGCCACTAGCTTGTGTGTGTGTTTACGTGTGAGTGTTGTTAACCCTGATCGTTTCTGTGACCTAAACAGACCGAGACTGACATGTGCAGCCCCCGGAGGTCAGAACAGCCGCGCACACACGTAGTCCACACATGTTTACCACCGACAGATAGCAGCCACGGGCACCCACAGGCGCCTGTCACCGTTTAACACACTCCTATTGACATAAGCAGGACCTGCAGGCAGTTCACACATGCATACATAACACCAGACAGGAGCATTATCAAGACAAACGCGCTGCAGCAGTGAATAAGCCAGACTGTGCTTTGCTATTAAGGCTCGGCTAGCTCCATTTGCATGATAACTTGCTGCTGGTGTGCAGGAGACTCATAGTTTGCATGCCCAAAGGCGGTGTACATTAGCAGGGACGGGTTTTAAATCATGTATTCAACAAATGCAGCAGTGGTGCAGTTCAGGGAGTACAGATGTAGTTCTTTGCCCAGGTGTTTGTCTTACAGGCAGGCGAGCTGGGCCAAGACTGGAATATGAGCGTGCTCTTTGTGTGGCTGACTATTGTATGATTCGGAGCCCTGCAGGCAAGCCATTTTAAATAACTCGCTTCCATTTCTGTTTCACCTCTGCTCCACTTCTCTGCCTCATCCTCACGCACACATTTGATTTGATGTTGTTGGGTCAGAGATAACTGAATCCTGGACTGAATAGAGAGGAAACCAAAATCATATTAAATTAACTAGAAAGCTAAACAACATCAGGATTTCCTCTCTTCTCTCAGAGCAGAGAGATTGTTTCAAGAAAGGAGAACCTCAAAGTAGCGCCAGATTTTAGAGTCAAGACGAGTGACGAAGGAGAAAGAAGAGAATAACTCAACAGAGATGAGGCCTGTGAAAATCATCCATGATGTGATATTGGAGGGAGGCTGGGGCAGGGGAGGGGGGGGGGCAGGCTCACAGACCAATACTCCCCTCCTGTGGCACTGCCAGAGAGCTGCACATCCCGAACACAAGCCGCACAAGACACACATGCACTCTGACAGAGAAAAAGCCGCACACACTCAGAGATACCTCTCTCTCAAACACACACACGCACACACAAAGGTGGTTTGAGCTGCTCAATCTGCCAGGAGGTAGATAAGAAAAAAAGTCAGCTACCCTGCCGCCTTGCCGCACACATAAGGTACTCATTACTGTGAGCAATATGCATGGAGAGACACTCAGAATGAGAAAGAGACAGCGAGAGGCATAAAGAGAGAGAAAGTGTGAGAGGATCCTAGTGACAGTGCTGCGCGCTGAATAAGCAGAGCTTAGCTTAAAGATGATGATTTCTTTTCTGAAGGGTCAAGCCTTTGAAAGAAGAGCTCAAACAGCTCTGGTTCTTCTTTTCACACCATCATTTAAATGCCACCACAGGCTGCAGCAGAGGAAAAATTAACACAACTCCATAATTGTCTCCATAATAATGTCTTAGCGCAGCAGAGCTGACACTGTCATTTAGGAGGAGGGAGACAACGAGGTGTGGTTCACCCAGAGGAAAGAGTCAGTTCCCAAATGCGAGAATGCTATAATTTTCTATGAAGACAGACAACCCCAACTGATGATCAAATATTCACTGCCAACAATAGGATGTGTTTTATATTACTATTACTATCTCCACTTCTCCATTAAAAAAAGACTCGGCTCTGATCCCATTCATTCTCTCACCATTTGTTCCAGTGTGGTTTGCTGTGATATAAACCAAACAGTAATTCAATGTGGACTACAACCTGAAAAACTGTTATCACTGCTATATTGAAAGTAGTGTTTTTCCTGATGGTCTAGTTTGCTTTGTAGATCATATAGAGACAGCAGTATCTCACTCTTTCATGAGCAGATAAAGCCTCCTCACAGAAGCTTTTCATTCAGATGAGAATATCTGCTGACAAGTACCCTCTTCAACCACGGCCAGATTCAAACCAACCTACCTGACCTTGTCGGTCCACTCAATCTCTCCGTGTGAGTTGATTTTTTTAAATTTCAAATGTGTGTTTTAGTGGGAGAATTGTATTCACGTGCAGAATAGAGTCATGCTGTATGCATCAGACTAGTTTTTCTTTGAGATTTTTTGACAGTAAGACATAAAGATATCTTTGATGAAGTTGTTGTTAACCAAGAATTGATTTCCCCCTGTACTTGTTACAAAAGGAAACAAAATTCTAAGCATTTGGCTCCTGGTCACTCAAAAACTGATCGGGCTGGTGTCTGAGATTCCCGATGTACCCCTGGAGTCAAGGATCTGCACTATTTATTCTTTCGGTGTGTTCCTTCAAAGGCTTTGCAGGCAGTCATAGTGTCTTACCTGACTGTGAGGTGGGTATCCATGGAAACCAGGGTTTAACGGCTCATTGTTCTGCAGGAGACAACAGGAGAGAGGAGAGCAGCGTGTGAGTGGCTTTTTGAATATGAGTGGAGGCAGCTTTTTAGTCCAAAACTTTTACATTATGGGTGAAATGCACTCTCAGGGAAAAAAATATACCACTGTGCTTGTTTTTTTTTTCAGCCAAGCAGGGAGGAAAAAATACAAGAATATGTTGAAATGACTGGATTTATTTCAGTATTTTGAGATAGAGATGAGACGCAGAAACACCCCCTCGCCAGTTTACTCAGGAACACTCCACTTCTTATTTCAAGGCATTTTTTTAAATGACGATCTTTTCTTACAAATATTCTTAATGTGACTCATTTCTTTGCCTTTGAAATGCAATATTGATTTCAATAAACTGGAGGGTTGAATTTAATTTCACTGATAGACAGTGATTCCGCAACTGCCATCTATCTGTAACCATAGAAACTAAACTGTTGAGTTTGACGCTACGAGCAGAAAGTGACTATGTCCTTTTTATGCAGTTTTAAATGACTGTTTGAGTAAAAGTGGATATATCTACCAGAGTTTTGGAACTCAAAGACATTCAACATTCAGGAACCAACACTTCATATAGCCTGATAAATCTGTTGTTCTACTAAATAACAGCCGTTAGTGTAACGTCGCTAGCCATACATCCAGTAAACGACTAATTAAGTATAGGCAGCCTGCTGAAAACTAACGGCTCACCGTTTCAAAGTCATAACAGGTGCTCACACATAAGCACACATGAAAAGAAATAACTCAATTTAGCCTGTGGCTGTCCTTCAATTCTCCTTATTCTTATTAACTGTGCAGCTTTTGACGCACTTCATTTGAAATATATCGTTTTGTACGGTTCAAGGGCCCTCGCTTAACTCAGAAAATCTGGTGTTTCAGTTAAATCTGGAGGAATCACATCAATAAATGATGAAATGGTTGTGATTATACAGTCAAGTAACTGGACTTTTTTATGCCCAAAATAATTAGTCAATGCTCAGTGATGGACCAAAGCTAAAACATGGGACAGAACACTTCCCTTAAAGAAAGGACACAAGTTAAAAGTCTGTGAGAATGCCTAGTGAAGCATCAACGCAGAGTTTTCATAATCAGCCGAACCGACCAATCAGAATCCACCAGCAGAGTCAAAGCCCCCGTTCCTCCCGACCCTGCCCCAGAAACCAGTGTTGTGGTTAATTGCTCCATAATTACTTTTAATTAGATTATTTCTGTCCCTCTTCCCCTCTCTTCTCCTCATGATTTTCTTTTCTGCTCTTTTTTTTTTTTGCCCCGGCAAGAGCCGCAATTGTTAGGTGAGGAGGAGGAGGAGGAGGCAAAAACGAAGAGACAGAAAGTCAAAGCGGAGGACGGGAAGGAGGAGGGGGAGAGGAACAATGGGGGAAAGTAAAGCAAAAGATGATATTATGACAGCAGTGAGAGATGACACTGGCACAGCCGAGCCTGCCGGCATGCCTCGCAGAGAAAACATGACTACATAGAGGGACTCATGCCGAGGCGCGAGGAGGGAGAGGAAGGAGGCAGAGAAGGGGGTCTGAGGGGGTAAAAGAAAGATGTATGTGTATATGTGCTGGCTGATGGGGGATGGTGTGTTGGTGCTGAGGACTGCTGATGTTTTCATTACATTTAATCTCCCAGAGCAGGCTGCAGACAAAATGTTTAAATCTGTGTGCTGCCCCCTCGGCCCGGGTGCACTCATCCATTCAGCAAACAGCTTGAGTGTGGGCTGAGTGATGCCACAGCTACAAGGAGGGCACATTTCTGGAGATGAGAGTCAACAGGGTTAACCTCCTGGCCTTAACCTTCTCCTAAACTCTGAGGAAACCACTTCCTGAAAGCCTTAATCCAGCCAATCAAGGACCAGAGTGTGAGGTGGAGGGTCACTGTGACTGAAGAATGACACTTTTCATCAAATCCATGGACTCTATGTGAAGGATGATGTTTCTCTGCCTTCAACTACCGCACAAAAGTGAAGCCAAAACACCCCTCATGGCAATGGCATGAATCTAGTTCTGAATATTGTGGTTTTAGAGTCAGAGTCTGTAAATTAGAAGTCGAGCAATAACATGTGTGCGCTCCCCCATATGATGCAAATTTTAAGCATTTTTATAGAAATCATTCCAGACATATAGTCATGTAAATTTAAGGCTCAAACTACCAGGTGGAGATTTGCAGCAACAACACAACTGAACAGTAAAATATCTTAGACTCCCAGGTTCTAGTTTTCTGCCAACTTGTTCCAAATGAGAGATAAATAAACACACCAACATGGTCAAGGGTCATTTGAGAGTGCAGCTGGGTCACAGTCAGTCCAGAGGCAGAAATAAAACAGCTCAGAAGGCATCGTATGGTGGTGTGCAGAGAGTCTGGTGCATGAGCTTTGCCAGTTTAAAAGCTCTCTTTGGAATAACTTTCCACCAGTCTACCAGCTTTGTTTCCAAAGGTGAGGAAATGTTGCATAAAAAGTTTCAAACTTCTGTGTTTGTGTGATGGGTGTTGTTGTGTATTACTCTCTCAATCTAAGACTTCTCAAGGAGACTTGGTGCACCACTTGAGGCCCCTGGCTGGGTGGAATCATCTTAGGCCAGTGGGTCCACATTAAGTATGTTAGCATGATTATAAAAAACACCTTAAAAATGAAGACAAGGGGTTTTTATTTCTTGCACGCCTTTTAAATGTTCCACTTTTGGCACAAAACAAGCCTGCGGGTTAGCATGTATCTTACATGTTCCAAAAGTAGAGTATAAAGCCAGTATACGCAGAAGGTACAAGCGGTCAAGTTGTCCAAAACCCGACTGTTTTACATACAACCAGCCAGCCCATTTCTAGTTAAACCAAACCTCTCCGAAAAAACCTAACAGAAAAAATTGAGCAATGCAGAAACTACTTAAAATGAAAGAAACCATGTTGAAGAAAGATCTACGTAACATGTATGATCATTTTAGAGTCTGACCCATGCTCCATCTGTTTACATGGAGGAGGCAGGTCTTGTTTTGATTGACTTCTGGAAGAGTAATGTGTCCATTCGTCTTACCCTCCTCAAAGGGTTGTTCCTGCTTTTTGACTTGTGTTTGACCAGACTGCTATTTGTTTAAATTTCTATTGTAATTTTCATCCCTTGAAGTCATGACTTTCAAAACATGCGCTCACTAAAGCTGATCCAGAAGAGTCTGCCAGTGCATTTCAAATATTTGTAGGAGTTGGACACAGAGATGGGTTGGCTAACACAAAAAGCAGATGTGCTTATGATGTGTGGATGAATGAAGAGAGGGAATTCGTGTCTAGACGTGGAAGGCAAAGGGCGAAATGGAGAGTCAAGTTTGAAAAAAAAGGGCCCAGATGTCGGGGAAAAAAGGTAAGAATAAGGGAGAGACATATTCCTTTTGATGCTATGGGCGGTAAACTCCGACGCCATGTGAGAGTTGGTGTCCAGACTCGAGGCCCGTCCTCCCTTTTCCCTCTGTCTGAAACAGCCCTTTCTTTGTCTCCACTCTCCACTTCCTGTTTCATCTGGAACCAATTTCCCCCTCGTGCCTCGTCCCCAGGGGGAACGCTCTCCTTGGTGTGCCGCGCTTACAGGGAAACGGTCAGGCTTGTATCCAGCAAAACAGTGACTGTGTTTCAAGTTGCTTTTGCTCGCCAGCGCGGCTCGGATGGAGAGGCAGAAGAAGAAGAAGGCAGTTCAGAGCAGGATCTCGAGTCTACAAAGCCTTGGGCAATGTCAAGCGAAATGAGAAATCTCTATTTCAAATACACAGAGAGATGCATGCTGGGAGTTAGAACACTGTGCTGCATTTTTAACAAAACTGAACACACAATCTGGTTATAAAACACAAGCTTGGTATTGTGTTTGATCATTCAGCCGTGTTAATTCAATATAAACACGATGAAATGTGATTTGAGTCTTGAGTGCATGTGCTCTTTTTCACATTCGAAGGCAAGGGAAAGATGGAGGCAGTGCTCTTGCAGCAAAAAATGCTTGAAAAACTGGAATGTGAGTGAAATCTACACCAAAATTGTGCCTGACCATCAAATTATAGAGCCAGAGTTGCAGTGGACAGAGTGGAAAGAAGAAAAGGGGGGGAAAAAAAGAAGGAGAAAGAGGAGGAGGAGGAGATTACGTGGAAGAACGGGAGGAGGGAGCGAGGGAAGAATTTAGCAACATCTGGAATCAATCTGTCTGCAAGAGAGTAGGGAGGGAGGGAGGATGAAGGGGGAGAATAGGAGAGGAGAAAGAAAAGAAGGAGGGCAGAGACGGACAGACACGGGAGGAGGAGGAGGAATGTGGGGAAAAGGGCCAAAGCCAGGATGGGGACCAGAAATAAAAAGCAGCGAATCGTCTGCGTAACGGAGACAATGAGTAATAAGCAAAGAATGCCATGTGATTTATATTTTCTTAAGGGGTGGGGGAGGGGAACGGGCTCTGAACTTGATACCTAGTTTTCAGAGGCTCTTGTTTATTCGCGCTCAAACCAAAGCACACACACTCCCTTTGCCATGTGGCTTTGCTTTTAAATACATGACCTGCTTGCGTGCCTTGAGAAGTATACAAAAAGCGCACACATTTATTCCTGCTACGGTTTCAATAAAGAAATGAAAAGTGCTTGCTACACTAAGGCTGTCCAGATTGAAAGGCAGGCTTTCGTAACTGCACTTTTGCAACTTTCCATTAACTTAAATCCATACAGTTTGTGAGCCTTTGAAGGCGCCGGCTGGCTGACTGTGAGGGCTTCAGACAGCACTGGCGGGGATCAGCAATAGCACAGAAAAAGGCAGTCACACACACATTAACACACTCGCTCTCTCCCTGCGTCCCTCTCTGAAAAGTAAAGGGCGTCTCTCTTGTTTATTTTCTCTCTCTCCTACTTGCTATTTTAGGAGAAGGGAAAGAAGTTGGTGGAGCTGAGGGGTAGGAGCTAGGGAAAGAAAAAGGAGCAGCAGTGGTGGAGGAAGGCAAAAATGACATGAGGTCAACAGATGGTGAGAGAGGAGGGGGACACAGGGAGGAGGGTAATTAAGGGGGAGGGGAGGAGGGGGCTGCAGCCAGCATCCAGTGATCCCTAACAGAACAGCCTGAGGTGGACTGAGCCGATGTTTGGCTTTATTACGGTTTCAATCATATTGCCAAATGAAGTCAAAAGCCAACTGTTTCCCCAACATGTCATTACCCAAAGTCGAGAAACTTCTTGATGAATACACACAACACTCAGGAATAGTCCTGCCTCTAAGTGACGGAGAAGCTTTGACTGGGATCCAAGATATGAACTCATAAAGACAACAGTCAGTTACTTTTACTGGCCTCACAAAATTCACAAGATCTGAAACATGGGAAACCAATCATCTCCGCTCTGTCAATGAAGTCGAATGAGATAGATGTGATTGGTCAGTGTGTTCTTTAAAGACACACATAAGCCATATAACGAGGCTGAAAACAACAACTATGATACTATTTGAATACAATTTAATCTGATACCATACCAAATAATGCAGTGCAACACAATACATTATGACACAATACGATAAAATACAGAGAGACATTGTACAACACGAAAAATCACAATACTAAACCATAGCAGCAGCACTGCTATGTTGGGCCTATTGCTGTTTAAGTAGCTACGCTGTTACATTATGTTCCGTTCCGTCACATTATGATATGATACGTCATGTTACCTGCGCTACTTGCTATATAGACCGTGTATAAGCGTAAACGTTACCCTTTACAGTAACGGAAGAGGGTCAGACAAGATTTGATGCGCTCGCTGATGACTCAAAATAAGCCGAAAATAAAGTCATGTGTTGTTGTGCTCACACAGTGCGAGTAGAAATAATTAGTGGCGCATTGATCATGTGAAATTTCAGTAGCTGCACACGAGGTACCCCCACCCTCTTGCCCTTTATATAGCTACGCTGTTACATTATGTTACATTACGTTCCGTCACATTACAATATGTTACGTTATGTTACTTGCGGTACTTGTGCGAGTAGAAATCATTAGTGGTGCATTTATATTAATGATCATGTGAAATTTCAGTAGTGGCGCACGGGAAACAATGCAATATGATTCCCCTCTGGTTCACCAATCTCTTTACCTTCATAACTTCTAAAAGAATGCCTAACAAATGCAAAAAACCTGACTCAAAATATGCTTCTTTTTGCTCTTAAAATTGTGTTTTTTGAATTTATGCTCATGCAATTTTTCATGCTCCTCCAACCGGCCTCCAGTGGGCACTCAGGGAACTGCAGTGATTAGCACTTCTGCATTGGTTACATACTTTAAAACCAGGCTTTACACTTGGATTTAATACCAGAAGGTTTAAGACCATGTGGCATTACATGATAGGACATGATACAGCACAGTGTGGAGCAGCACGATACAATGTAATATGACACAAAATGCTCGATAATCCTTTAGGGGATGTCCGTCTTGGACTCCAGAGCTGCACATGCTCAGCTGCCTTCTCAATGGCACTGATATATTTAAACACCAAAAACCAACAACAATCCGCAAGCATACAGAACATCACGTACCAAAGGAAACCACAGATTACATATGTCGCAATTTTCAAATAATGCTCAAGATCTGCAGTGAGTGGCTCCTGCTTGGCGAAAGAAGAAATAAGTTAGTTTAAGATGGAGATTTAATACAGTATTGTTTTGATGCATTTGCTAGCTTCCTTTAAGTAAACTTTTCTGCAGCTGACGGCTAGATCTGAGGAATTTCTAAGACTTGTACTGATATAAAAACAGCTCTAGCAAAGAAGAGGATCAACCGTAACACAAATGGTCATGGATTAGAGCGTGTTAAACAGCTTAATTCTCATTATTCATGGCTCTATTACAGCTGTGATGATACAGTGGCAGCGTATCTCATTTGACCCCATGTAAGGGAAATACTGGATTGACATTTCACTGCGTCTGTGGCTGGAGACAGGAGCACATGTGACAGTTTGGGGGCAGCCTTGGGGAGGAGGCGAGTGGGGGCGGGGAGGCTGGGGAGTGGTGCCATGATGACCATAAAGGGGAGAGCTAACATGCGAGTGTCATGTTAAGGAGCTGAAACCAGTATACTCAACTAGAGCAGGAGAGAGGATGAAAAGAGAGAGAGAGAGGTCTGTATTCAATTTCCTGCTTTTTATGAATGTAGCCTTCAATCTGATTACGCCTCTCTGCTTTGGCAATACGGCGGTCGTACTTGTGCCAATAAAGCACGGCGAATTCAATTGAGCGAACACAAACACAGAAACAGAGTGAAAGAGGGAGACCAGGGGGGTGCTGGGAAAATATGAGTTGAGCAACTTTGTCTGGGGAATTTCAAGCTTATCATTGCCAGTTCAAAAGTCAAGAGTGAGTGCAGCACTGTGCTCGGCTCAAAGTTTAACAGAGCAATCATTAAACAGCAGCGAGAGAGCAGCATGTACATACGACCCTCTGTGATGAGTCTGAACACACAATCTGACCCACACACTCTAACATATAAACACACACATATATATACATGCACACACTGAGGCTCTGTCTGTACATGAAGGTTACTGAACAACCACAAGCTGTTTCTGCAGCTCGAAGTGCAGACACTTTTCTCCTTATCCTGCAGGCAAAGGGCAAATCTATAGCTCTGACAGGAAACACTCTGAAACATAATTAATAAATTTGGCTTTATGTGTTTCTTTAAAGCTGTACCTAAACTTTTTGTCTGAGTAACCAAATAAAGTTATTTCTTCATGGAGGAAACTTACAAAATCAACAATTTACTGCTTTATTTTGTCAACTTTAAGATGGTTGCTTTTTCTGTCCTCTTTCAAATAATCCTAACATTTACATCGCAAAATTTAATTTTACACAGCTTTCATTTCAAGCTGCAATGATGATTGATTGATTTGCATGTTACAAATAATGAGGTAAACGTCACTGATTTATGTTTCTTCACCTTTTCTGAAAATCTATTATTCTTTTTATCTTTTGAGGGTGTTATTTTTCATTGGAACATTGATAAATATTTTCACATTTCAGACATTTTTCATCCAAATCAATATACAGATTCTAAACAAAATAATCCACAGTTCACATGATGGTAAAAAAAATTAAGCTGCATCCTTAAATAGATTTAATTATTCTTAATTTATGTTAAAGTGAAATATTAAGGAGAGCTGGATTGTTACATCTAAGATATAAGACTTTTTTAATCTTGGATACAATTTACCCCACCAATAAAAAATACCATCAAAAGTTGATGTGTAATCAGTCTGATCTTGATTAAATTCATAAAAACTTTAAGACTGAAAACACACAACCATTAACATAATCAAATGTGTCTAATCTAAGAATGAAATGTAACCTTTCAAGCTGCAGTTGCAGACTGAGATTTAGGGCCTGTTTCCACTCATGGCATTTTTTGCTCTGAACTTAATTTTGAAGCCCGTCTCAGCTGCACTTGCTGTTAGTTTTAAGGGCCTGTTTCTAGGTGTTACATTGCAAATTCACATCACTGGGCAGAGGCCTGTTCACTGGTTAAAAGGTTGATCAATTTAAGCTCAATATTTATTTAGAAGTAGGCAATATGACCCTTTCTCAAGTCTTGTTAGATAAATACTAAATATTTGTATATCAACACATTTTAATCCTCTTAGTAACATGAGGGGGAAACTAACACAGGGGTGTTCAATGCAACACGTACAGTCTCAGTTTTGCCTGTGTGCATCATTCGGAACATTCATAAACTGTACATTTTCAAGTCTTACTTAGATAACTGAAATATGTGGCAAACTCAAGTTTTGTACAGATCTATCTCACACAGGGGATAATAAGTCCTCCTGATTTACCAACTTATGCTAGACCAACAAGCAAACCTCAGATAAATGAGCACAGCGGTAAGGGAATAGTTTACAATCCAACTTTTCATCATAAAAAAATCAATCTCTATGATCTGTCCATTCATATCCTCCCTCCCCGGGCAGACCCCCTCCCTCTGCTCTGGCCTGTTAAAGCGATCAGTCTGGTTAATGCCCTCTTCTAAATGAGCTTTGATCTCGTTAGCGCGACACAAAGCCTCTTTACTGCCAACGATAGGACAAATCGGCTCTCCCAAACAGACAGACCGACCGGCCGACCGAGCGGGAAGAAGAGAGTTAGAAAGTGTGTGGCCGCGCTGCATCCCAGCGGACCGCGGCTCTGCCTCAAGGGTAAACATCAATACAGCCAGCAGAGAGCGGAGGCAAAGACAAAAAAAGAGATGAAGGAGGGAGGAAAAATGACAGAGAGGAGGAGAAAACATGAGAGGAATACAGGAGAGGAGGTGCGGGGGAAAAAAGGATTCTGTAAGGATTGGAGTGATGGGAGATGGATCGAAAGGACAGGGGAGCGATAATCAAAGATAGCAGGGAGGGGGGGGAGACGGGAAGAGCGGGGAGTGAGAGGGAGGGGGGGTTCACCTCGCTGGCACTCTGAAACAGCCTGTGAAGCAGGAGTCAATTAGCAATCTGGAAATATGCTCGAGGGGGGGAGAAATCAGAGGACAGCTAGAGGGGAGAGAGGGGGCAGGAGGGGGGTTGGAAGGGGGAGGGGTCTGCAGTTTGTATAAAAGAAGTGGAGGGGGGGGCAGGAGCAACAAAAGAGAGATGAGGCTGCACTCTCATGTATTATTACAGTCCTGATTTACAGTCAGTATGGAAGGTCAGCAGTCTTCTAGCAGTGGGAATACTGTGCTAATGGACGGGTGCATTTAGTGATAGCAGGACCAAGTGAACTCATCCACCCATCACAAGGCCTGTAATTTGACTGTGTATGTATGTGTGTGTGCTGAGAGTCTGTGCTGTATGGATATCCATACACAGTCATGATTTAAAGCTTGTTTGTTTAATCACTATGTTATATTGCACACCATACTCCCAAGAATAGTCTACATTCTAGTTCAGGAAATAGGGCTGTCACTTTGTTTTTATCCAAAATTCAAGTATGGGTTTTTTGTTTTAAACATCTAAAAAGGGGAAAACTTAATCAAACCTTCATATGTTGTTCAATTTCAATTTATAGTATTTAAGTACAATGAGCTGTTTGGTCCAGAAGAAGTTGAGTAACCTGACTGTTGAATGTCACCCTTGACCTCGGTAAATTTATACAGTGATGAACTCTTCAATTGCAACAGTATGTGGGCTCACTTACACAGCAGCAGAGGATGCACCACAGTGAAATGTGCAACTTCTTTTGGTTTTAAAGGAAGGGGGGCTGCAATCGATTCTGACCAAGTTGTACACTTGTGTTTTGTTTAAAAACAATGGGTTATGGACCGCTGATGCCAATATTGTCACAGTTTCAATTTAAGTTATTAAAAATCTATCCAGTGGTCTAATCTGACATTTTCTATACAAGAAGGTGTTTTCATTTCAAGTCTTTCTGGACTTGTATTTTGTTTATGTTGTTTTAAAAAACTGTAAAGTGTGATGAAATAAATGTTAGGTATCAGTGCCGAACAGTGGGTTGAATATAGTCGAACATAAGCATGTCATGTGCAACATCTATGTGAACTTGATTTTATGAAGAAAGTGAAAGCCCTGTAAGGCAATATTCCAAATACAGCGTTTTAAATGTGCAGCAGGTATCTATGGAAGTATTTCTGTTTGCAGGTTAATCTGCATATTCAGCAGGAACCACAAGCATATGGTAGAAGCAGTTGCAATGTCATGACATCTGAGTATAAGGGCTAGGCTGATTGTAGGCCCTGGCTGAAGATCAGAGTTGATTATGCAATTGTTTTCAATGTTGTTTCTTGCAAGCTTCTGCAACGTCACGACACTGCACAAAATATCACACTTTAACACTAATAAAATACAAAAGTAAAAGCACAGAGTCTTGGTAAAGGTAAAGCCGGGCTACAGCCCTATGAAGGACTATCAATGTAATGGGGACTTGCGGGGACCTGTTTAAGTAAGTGGTTTGAACATCAATCTTACGTACAGTGGCTACAGCCCACAAAGCAGCTCTGACCTTCAACTATTTGCTCCGTATCATCTCCCACTCTTTCATCCCAATGTGTTCTGCCACTACTCAACCATCCTGAGTGAGAAAATATGTCCATCTCCAATGGTAGATGGTTGGCATCTCTTGAAAAGTAATAATGTGGTTGGATGTTTTAATTTTACAATTTAGGGCACGAAATCATTTGGTCTTTTCTTCAACAAGACCATTTCCTCTAGCATCAGGAGAGTAGCACTAATGTTGAATGTCTGGCATAAAAAAAGAAATGTGCTGCTGACATGAAAAAAAAAACGAAATTAAAGCCACAAAAACTGCACAACCAGTCATGACTGCAGGAGCACTCTGGGCCTGAAGGGGACATTACCCTTGTTTTACTTTGTCCTCATCTCTAAATTTGCTTCTAATTTCTCATTGTTGCAGCTCCTACCTCGTCTCTCTTCAGCTATTCTATCTATAAATGAGAAAATGGGCCAAATTTTCAAATGAATCCAAACCTCACATGACTTACTTGCACACACTGGTCAGAAGAGTTGTTTTCTTTTGTTTCTGCCCCTTAAATAGGCTGTAATTCAACTCCTCTTCTTCATTCAGAGCTTCCACCCTTACTTATCTCTTCCCCCAGCTGATCATACCATCCATCACTTCCTTCTCATCCTTTATCGCCATCCCTGATGGATGCTAACTAATGGCTTTGATTCCCTCTCCGTCCGCTCTCTCCTTGCCTCCATCCTTTATGTCTCCCTGCATCCATCCATTCAGGCCTCCGAGTGTCCTCTCCCTCCTGCAAATAATGCGTCCATCTAATCTGGGGCAGCACGATAAATCACACTTCCATCATTTGCATGCACCAGGCGTTCACACGCCACACATGAATGTTTGACCTGTCAGATGCAGACCTTGAGACACATGGGTTATGAATTACAAAAATCAAGTGGAGATGCGCAGAAACCATATTTCCTTCCCTTCTTCCTAGACATGTGCAGTCAAGAAAAAGCTATGATATTCATCGAAAAAGGTTATTGTGGACATTTTGTATCTATAGCACTTATCTATGCACTTTTGTTGTTGTCATTGGCCAACAGTAAATGGTCTTTTAACTGTTCTTGGGGATGGGCTGTTATCTCAGAGCAGGAGCTCCACATACAAACACTAACGGTACATTTACATACACTTCAATATATTGATTTATTACAATGGTTCGACTAAGAGTGGACATTTAAAATGCATGTAAACATATTAGTCTGACTGAAATTAAAATATTTAAAATCAGACTATCATACCTGAATAATGTGGATGGAGATTGTCACTGCATATGAACGGCTCAATCAAGCTGAATCTGGACTAAGTGTTCTGAGCATGTTCCAGTGTTGGCATGTCGGGCTTTAAGAGAGAAGTTGAATAGCATGGATGTGGAGCTAGGAAGCTGGGTAGTAACAGCACAGAGCTGTTAAAGTGACATCCTATTAGCCTCTTGCAACACGTTTTTGCCAGCTTTTTCAATACACAGCATGTCGACTGGGAGACAACCTGATGGTAACAAGCTGTAGGGCAATTCCTCATGATTAAATTCTCACCCAGTGCATGTAAACAGTCCAGTTAAACCCCCTAACCGAGCTATGATGGTAGCCTGACTTAACTGCACATGTGAATGTACTGCGACAGATATGACATCACCACCTCATAACCCTTATGCCATCATTGTTACTACCTCCAAGAGAAGATCTGTGGTCGAACAACTTCAACCCATTATTGAAAATTTGTTTGTTACACACTGCGGACAAAGGCGTAAAGAGTGTGCCTTATATATATAACCAAACAATCTGGAATCTACCAACTGTAGCAACTGAAAATGGAAAAATTAACCAGGACACTTATTTTGAACTCTAGCCACAGCTTTAACTTAACGCATTAACAAAGACTACAGACGGCACAAGGATGGATAATTACAATGGAACAGCTGGGCAGTGATAAGACAGGAGTTGAATGCCAGTCGAGCTGCAGAGAGGAGAAGAAGCGGTCAAGGCTGGATGCTTTATAGGAAAGCAACACAAGCAAAGAAGAGAAAAGATGTGCTTCACGTTTTCTTGGGAGAGAAAAAAAAAAAGCACTTGTCTTTCTAGACTTGTTTTGAATTCAAGAAAGACACCAGTGTGTAATGTACAATGGTGTAATGGTGGGGCACAGCCGTTATACCTCCGGTCCTCCCTCAGGGGTAGCAGAGGAGGCAAATTGGGGAGCGTTAAGAGTTTTTCTGCTCTGTAGCACAGCACTTGGTGTTTGTGCATGTCTGGCTGTTTGCATGCATGTGGTTCTACTGCTGTGCGTGTACAATCTGTGTCTGCTGCAGAGTTTCAATATCAATACAATGTGAAATCAACTCGGGCATCAATATTACGCTGATTTGAGTTGCAACACGCAAGCACAAATACGTACTGATGGAAGAAGTTTGAACAGGAACTGTTGCCGAGTTATTATGTATAAGAGGCCTCAGGGACTGTGCATTATGGCTAATGTGCACACTTTAATGTGTGTTGATTTGCCTAATGCTTTGTTATTACTGCATTATTGAGCAAATTGCCCATTTTTTTCATCATCCGCAGAGGAACTCCAGATATTTCTCTGCATCCAACCTCTGTCCACTCCTCTTTCTTTCTTCATCCTCCTTAATCCATGTTTGCTTTCCTCTCTCCCTCCTTCATCACCTCCATGCCCAGCAATCAATACAACTGATGGCCATTGAGAACCTCCTCACACCATGCTGCTCATCGTCACATCATCTTTGCCTTGCGGGTCTGTAACCTCTCCCAATCATCAGCATCCATGCAGTGTATGGCTCGGCTTTACATGAGACCTCTTTGTCATTGTGGCTGGTCGGCCTTGCAGCCAATTAAAGTGTTTGACCAGTTCCCTGGGATTCAATTACCTGCAGATGACCTCAAACCAAGTCCGCCTGCCCTTCAACTACAGTTAGAGCTGTTTTCCTGCACTCAAAAACCACACGTCAGCTAAATACGTTCCCTTGTGCTGCTGGATTATGGACACTTCAAAGAGTGTGTGTGTAGGTGTAAGAATAGTGTGCAGTGAGAGAGAGAGAGAAATAAATAGTAATAGATCCAGGGAGAGCAAGAGGAGCAGCGCACCCCAGGGCTCGGCGGCCTCAGCACCCCCCCTTCCCCCTCTTTGGTTTACAGTAATATACCAAGATTAGTCCTTCAGAGGCACGAAAGGCTGCTGATGCTCTGCTGCCTCAGCAGTCGAGTCATGAAGGCAGGGGAGACCCGTGTTCAGGAGGAGAGCCCCCCTTGAGCCTCCTCGCTCCTTCAACCTACACCAAAAGGCTCTGTTCTTTGTCTTTCACTGGGGGTGACCCCTCCCCCAATCCCTGTCTGCCTCTCTCTTTTAACACCTAGCGACAATCAAGAGGAGGAGGAGGAGGGGGGGGCACACAAACACACACAGAGCGATTAATGGCACATGCGGTGTGTATCAGGATTTGATGTGATGACTCACTTCACATTACCATCAATGATCGGTGTGATTTCACAGGAGTGAGAAATGAAATATAAAACACTGAGTGGATTGCAACATGTGAGGGAGCAGTGGTAGACTTGATGAATGGGTCTGATCTTTGCTGTGCTGCTGCCTGTCATAGCTATGGAGCCTGTATCATATTACCTTTGTCTGGTTTGGTCATGCTGCCTCACTGAGCTGCTCAAGGAGCTCGGCTACAGTAATAAACCATCATCACACTCTGTTTTCAGTTATATATTTCTTTTCAGATTAAAAAATTTGTCTTGATTGCTGCAATGATGCATGGATATGTAATTGATGAGAAAAAAAATACAGCCATTAAAACCTTATCACCATCATCCTTTGCTGATGCTTGGGAACAAAAGCTTTCACTGGAGAAGAAAGGGGGAGGGCAAAGGAGGCTTCCCTACACTGAAGCTGAAGATGGAAACAAATAGAAACAGATGATGTAGAAGTGCTTTCTTTACCTTTTCTAATGTTTTTCTTACCTGTCCAATGTCACCAACAACACCCCCGGTCCCGTCTATCCTCGGTCTTTTGCACTCCGCCCCGGCCAAGTCAGTCAGAGCAGCGGCTGTCTGAGCGTCCGGCTCCGGGTCTCCTCGCTTCATCCCCCGGACAGCTGCTGGACCCCCGGCCGCGTTCGCGAGGGGTCCGGCGGCTGCGTCAATGTCTCTTTCCCGGTCCATTATACCCCGACTAACGGGTAGCATTATAGATGCAACGTCGGTCGACATTAACATTGGACGGCAGCCAGTCTCCAGTCAAAAGTCTGTTCCTTTTTCCTTGAGGTTATCCAATATTCACAGTAGGTTTGCTTTTTTCCAGAACAGCGTCAACGGCGAATTTTCAGCTAATTTTCATCAATAACGGCAGCTTTCTACTGTTTTTTGTCTTACTTTGCGTTGGTTATTCAAAGCAGAACATTATCATCGTGCCAGAACCAACAAGGCACACTTACACAGTTTTCCCATGAAATAAAAAAGTACACCAACGCCAAACACTGACCTATTTTTAATAAAGATCACACGTCCGACTCCTGGATGCCTGACAAGCTAATTAGCTAGCTAACATTAGCTAGCGTGCTAGCATTACATTCCGCTAGCTCTCTTTATAAATGTGGCTCACTCTCGCTGCCAAGAATAGAAAACGATGGAAATTAGCTCGGCGTGTTACTTCTCCTTCTGCAGGGCCGGTCAGTCCTCTATCCTCTCTCCTCTTATCCGCTTAATGTGCCTAAGTCCCCGCTGTTGTTCCCACCAGCCTTCCCTCTGATTCCAGCCTCTTCTTATCACACCGTCCCTTCCCTCGCCGTGTTCCACTCTGGATGTGTCTTGCAGGGGCGTGTCCAGACTTTTTGAACGGGGTGGCCCCAAGTGGGAACTGAGCTCTGCAGGGGTGGTATGAATTATCTAATTTTATTACATTTTTGTCTTCACAAATCATTCCAAATCATCCTGTTGTATGTAGTCACATATTCTGTAACTTTAGGCTTGTTTTTCATAAGTAGAGAGGGGGTTCGATCTAATGCTGCATTCCAGGATTATTCTGGGATTTGAGCTCCAAGTAGGAAAATCATCTGGAACGCCCCCCTTGAAGTCAGATTTCCAACTCGGAAAGTCGAACAATCCTCGCCAACCCCGACTTGACGACAACGTCATAATCCAAGATGGCAGCGTAGCGCATCAACAGTAAAGAGTAACAGTAAAAGCTCTTGTAATGTATTTTTTTATTGGCACTTCAGTTTTGTTTAAAGGTAGTTATAGGAGTTATAGGTACTATTGTAAATGTGACGCTACTGTTTGAGGGCTTTTAAGATTCATTTTATGGAAGTTGAAATAATATTACAGAATTATTAGTTATTTAGTGGGTGACTTATTTGCATTCTGATGGTTTTTGGACAGCTGTTGGACTGGAATCTGTCGGCTATATTAGGCAACACGATGAATAAATATTCTAGGAATACATTTTTTAAACCATGATATGCCATGCTGCCATTGTTCACACTGATGAGGTAAGTTGTGACAATTTCTTTGTTTGTTTTGTGCTTTTGCACTGAGAGATACATGTTTGGATAATCTGACACTGAGTTTAGAGCCCAGAAAACAACATGGCAGTGCTTGTCACAGAATAAATGGAATAACTGAAATACATTGGTGTGTGTTTGTATAGGGTTTCTTATTCAGGACTGTCAAAAATACATCAAAAAGCAATATTTCAGTTTGACAGTGTGAAGAAGTTTGTTTGCAATGTTTGATCCTCTCCAAAGCATTTGTCTCATGAAACTGATGCGTGAAGTATCTTTCCAGCTTTACATATGCTTAATAAGTTTGATGATACAATATCCAGCTGTTAGAGTCCAGGTTAAAATGCTCCGTGCTCACCCCAACCATGGATGAAATTCAAGAAGAGATGGTGGCCCTTGAGGACAAGAACCTCCTATGATGCATTGGTCACGTTTTTTCAGTCAAAAATATTGGAGAAAACTTTTTTTTGTCCTCCAATTTGGCATTTCCATCACAAAACTCATGAACTTTATGAGCTTGTTTATTATATGCTACTGTATACATGTAGATGCCAGATACAAACCTCATACACACATTTTTAAAATACTTATGGATATAATTCTGAAGTACTATCAAGTCTGTCCCTTTAAATGAAAGAAAACTACTAGCAGCCTCCTAAAAGAAAGCCCAAATAGTTTATTTCAACACAAGTATCACCTCTAGCAATAAATAAAAGACTATCATGGCTCAGAATTTTTTGTAGTGGCACTTGTGTTGGCCATTCAGATTTTAAAGGGACGTTTGCCACCCCTTACCCTACCCACCTGTTAGCACCCCCCCATGTTTTCTTAGGGCTTTGTTGTCTTGGTGTGCAGACTTGACTGCAGATGCTTGTGACTTCACCTAGCCTGAGATGTTCTGGGATCAGATTGGTATTCAGAAACAGGGTTTCTGAAGAGAGAACAGAGAGGGGAGGTGGGTCAGTCTAAGGTCGACCTTATCCTGATTGTATTTAACCAACCAACCACATCAAAGCTCTCTCTTCTCCTTCTCCAACTTTACTTGGTTTAATGTTATGTTAGCTGATTTTGTAACTTGATACGCCACAGGTCAAATGTAGGTGAAAGTTAAATTAAACAATGTGTTTAAGAAGAAATAAACCAAACATTTAACATTAGTAAATAGATGTATGCTCCGATGAAGGCCTGACGGGCTAAAACTTTGGCACATTGAAATGTAAATTACACTGAATTAGTCTGCATATACATCTGAACTTTTTGATTCTCAAGCACCTGACAAATTTTGAGCCACGTCCAGTTGTAATCCTTCCACCTTTATCTGGGTGTATATAAATGACATGTTTAAAAAAAATACAAACATAGTTTTTATAGCATGATTTTTTAAATTTGAACATGGACAAACGGATTCTATTACTGATAAATTTATGAAAGATTGAAGGAAATTCTCTTCGAAAATAAACACAAGGCAAGAGCAACAATCTATATCTTACAGCAGTGGCTTTCAGTGGTGTTGTGCTTTTTAGGGCCCGAGCGTAGCTGCTAAGCAGCTGCGAGAGCCCTATTATTCCTGATGGATTCTTCTTTAGGGCCCGAGCGTAGCTGCTAAGCAGCTGCGAGAGCCCTCTTGTTCCTGCATGTTTCCTTCTTTCGTTATTATTTTTCCTCCGCTTTAAACTGGAAAATGGCCCACTTCCCACTGGCGAAAACTCAGGAAATTTGGCAGGACGACCGGGTCTGGTGAAAAATTCGATATTCTGAAGTCGCCCAAACAATAAAATGCAAAATGGCTCCATAGCGCCCCCTAAGGTGAAAATTCACATGACGGCTGTACGCTTTGTCATATTGACACAAAAATTGACACACACATGTATCTCAATAAGATCTACAAAAAAGTCAGTGCGGGCGTATCTGTCAAATGTACGGTTAATGGGTTATTTTGCATTTTTTGCAGATGTGCACACATTGGAATTTCGCTAACTCCTCCGAAGGCTTTCGTTCGACCGGCACCACATTTGCGCAGGCCAATCTACCCCCCATGGCCATTCAAAGTTGTACAAATCATAACGCTGCACCCCACGGTTTACGTTCTAGGGGGCGCCAAAGATAACCCAAAATCCACATTCTTAAAAGTCTTATAACTTTTTATTTTTGTCCTCACTGCCCTCCAAGTTTTCTAGGATGATGCAATGTCCAGCCATCAACACATTTGTGAAGGAATTTTTACTCCCCAAAAGAGCGCCCCCCCATGGCAGGAGAAAAAAGTCAATTTTTTCTTGTCCCCTTACATGAAAATACACATTGTTGAGTGTCACGCCTGAACGCTTTGTCATATTGACACAAAAATTGACGATCATGTGTATCTCAATTAGATCTACGAAAAAGTCAAAAAGCGCGTATCTGTATAATGTACGGTTAAAGGGCTATTTCGCATTTTTTGCCGATTCGCACACATTGGAATGTGGCTATCTCCTCCTAAGGCTTTCGTCCCACCGATACCAAATTTGCTCAGGGCAATCTACACCCCATGCCCATTCAAAGTTGTAAAAATCATGACGCTGCACCCCACGGTTTACGTTCTAGGGGGCGCCAAAGATGACCCAAAAATCCACATTCTTAAAAGTCATTTTGGCCACTGCAGGAGTACAGAGTACTGCAGTTCTAGGGGGCGCCAAAGATGACCCAAAAATCCACATTCTTAAAAGTCTTTTTGGCCACTGCAGGAGTACAGAGTACTGCAGGATACACACACATACACACACACACACACACACACACACACACACACACACACACACACACACACACACACACACTCAGAGTCTGTTTTTTAGCACCTGCAAAAACATGCTGTTTACATATTTGACAAGAATGCAGAGGCTTCCTTTTGCCGCTGAAAAAAATCATATTTCAAACACAACTTGACTGTTCATTTCTCCAAAAGACAACCATGAAGCTCCATCCAAACCTGAAGCAGATAGTTGGTGCATGTGTACAGTAACCTGAGGGGAGTGAGGTGACTATTTCTGAGGAGAACATGAGCAGTGAAGATTCACCTTGGAGCTAGAACAGGGACGTGCACATGATTATACAGGGGCAGGGGCTCAAGTTTTTTCCAGTCATTTATACAATATGGAAATTTAACCACAAATATGTGTGATGAACTGTTTTTAAAACTTAAACTTCAAATAAAAATTGTAAACTTCAAAACATATGCAAATTTTTAACAAAGAACATAGTAATTTACCTCTATTTACATCAAAATGCAGGCAATGGCCCAGGCGTTCTTTGTAAAATTATTTACAAAACACTGTATAGTCTCACAAATGTCACTTTTTATTTATGCCACTACAAAAAATGATGAATGATGTAAATGATGCATGATGTAAAACATGATGTAAAAAACTTGTGTAGATCCTCCTCTATGTCAGTCCATGTGTAATTTTTCCATAATTCTTTGTTTTTTGATGCATTTTTGTTAGTGTAACTGCAGATTGTGCTGACAGTCTATGGCAAAAAAAACAAAAACTGAAAATGCCTCAACATGAACCCCTGGTGGTCTCTGAGGGTGAAACCTGCTAACTGCTGCAGCTCTGTCAGCTTCAGTCTCCCATGCAGAGCTCGGAGCGCATGTGTGGCTCTGCACCCTTAGCAGCGTTGCTAACTCCTCAGTAAGGAAAGCCTGCTTCATGTCAGAGTCTCTAAACTCCAGAAGAAGTCGATAAAAGTCCCTTTCTTTCTAAAAAAAGTCGTTAGGGGGTCTGAAAAGTCATTGAATCTAACAACAAAGTCGCTAGGTTTGCAACTACGTGTCCCAGACTGCATCCCTGCTGAGAGTCCCTCCCTCCCTTCTCATGTTGCAGGAAGAACGTAAGCGCCCTCCCCTTGTCAATCAGTCACCATATAATTTTGGATTGGTTGTTGTGGTGAAGTTTTCCACCAATAGGAGAGATGTTGTGGTGTGTTTTTTTTTTCTTTTGGCAAGCCTTTTCCGCCTGTAAGACCTGTCGCTAATGTGTGCATGCTATGTTTTCCTGTCTCATACAGCGCGATCGAGCGCCGAACGTGATCAAAATAAGCAGAAAAAAAGTATCGCGGACATAATTTATCATAACTCTGGTTTTATTTGGCCTATCAACACAATTTAAAAACTGGTATATAGGTTGAGGTCCTCACTTTTGAGATAAGTTGAAACGGAGAGTTAACGAGGCTCCGTCTTGCAGCTACATCCGGTTAAATATGTCATGTGACTTGAACGTGGGGAGCGTCAATCGAATCGAATCAAACCTAACTCTCAGATGAATCTTC